AGTGCAAAAATGGAGGCTCTAGCCCCTTCCAGAGCTGAGATATCGAAACTCAAAAATTCGGCCCGAAAAAAAAACGACAGTGGTACCCCTTACGTTTTTTTTTTTTGGGCGAAAAATTAAGTTTCTCCAATCTTCCCAAAACTCTGGATTCTGATAGAGGGCCATGAGACTTAGACCTGAGTGCAAAAATGGAGGCTCTAGCCCCTTCCAGAGCTGAGATATCGAAACTCAAAAATTCGGCCCGAAAAAAAAACGACACCCTTACGTTTTTTTTTTTTGGGCGAAAAATTAAGTTTCTCCAATCTTCCCAAAACTCTGGATTCTGATAGAGGGCCATGAGACTTAGACCTGAGTGCAAAAATGGAGGCTCTAGCCCCTTCCAGAGCTGAGATATCGAAACTCAAAAATTCGGCCCGAAAAAAAAAACGACAGTGGTACCCCTTACGTTTTTTTTTGGGGCGAAAAATTAAGTTTCTCCAATCTTCCCAAAACTCTGGATTCTGATAGAGGGCCATGAGACTTAGACCTGAGTGCAAAAATGGAGGCTCTAGCCCCTTCCAGAGCTGAGATATCGAAACTCAAAAATTCGGCCCAAAAAAAAACGACAGTGGTACCCCTTACGTTTTTTTTTTGGGCGAAAAATTAAGTTTCTCCAATCTTCCCAAAACTCTGGATTCTGATAGAGGGCCATGAGACTTAGACCTGAGTGCAAAAATGGAGGCTCTAGCCCCTTCCAGAGCTGAGATATCGAAACTCAAAAATTCGGCCCGAAAAAAAAACGACAGTGGTACCCCTTACGTTTTTTTTTTTGGGGCGAAAAATTAAGTTTCTCCAATCTTCCCAAAACTCTGGATTCTGATAGAGGGCCATGAGACTTAGACCTGAGTGCAAAAATGGAGGCTCTAGCCCCTTCCAGAGCTGAGATATCGAAACTCAAAAATTCGGCCCGAAAAAAAAACGACAGTGGTACCCCTTACGTTTTTTTTTTGGGGGCGAAAAATTAAGTTTCTCCAATCTTCCCAAAACTCTGGATTCTGATAGAGGGCCATGAGACTTAGACCTGAGTGCAAAAATGGAGGCTCTAGCCCCTTCCAGAGCTGAGATATCGAAACTCAAAAATTCGGCCCGAAAAAAAAACGACAGTGGTACCCCTTACGTTTTTTTTTTTTGGGCGAAAAATTAAGTTTCTCCAATCTTCCCAAAACTCTGGATTCTGATAGAGGGCCATGAGACTTAGACCTGAGTGCAAAAATGGAGGCTCTAGCCCCTTCCAGAGCTGAGATATCGAAACTCAAAAATTCGGCCCAAAAAAAAAAACGACAGTGGTACCCCTTACGTTTTTTTTTTTTTGGGCGAAAAATTAAGTTTCTCCAATCTTCCAAAACTCTGGATTCTGATAGAGGGCCATGAGACTTAGACCTGAGTGCAAAAATGGAGGCTCTAGCCCCTTCCAGAGCTGAGATATCGAAACTCAAAAATTCGGCCCGAAAAAAAAACGACAGTGGTACCCCTTACGTTTTTTTTTTTGGGGGCGAAAAATTAAGTTTCTCCAATCTTCCCAAAACTCTGGATTCTGATAGAGGGCCATGAGACTTAGACCTGAGTGCAAAAATGGAGGCTCTAGCCCCTTCCAGAGCTGAGATATCGAAACTCAAAAATTCGGCCTGAAAAAAAAACGACAGTGGTACCCGTTACGTTTTTTTTTTTTTTGGGCGAAAAATTAAGTTTCTCCAATCTTCCCAAAACTCTGGATTCAAATTAAGTTTCTCCAGTCTTCCCAAAACTCTAGATTCTGATAGAGGGCCATGAGACTTAAACCTGAGTGCAAAAATGGAGGCTCTAGACCCTTCCAGAGCTGAGATATCGAAACTCAAAATTTCGACCCGAAAAAAAAAACGACAGTGGTACCCCTTTCGGGGGTTTTTTTTGGCCGAAAAATGAAGTTTCTTCAATCTTCTCAAAAGTCTGAATTCTAAGCTCACAATTTTACTCATTAGGCTATTTCATTAAAAACGTGACATTTAGACATTTTTTTCGCCGTGGATCATGGCAAATGAATCATTTTCACCTTGAAAATAATACATGTTTTTTTTGCATTTTAAATAACAGAACATTTCTCAGTGATCATCAATAAAACAAAATTCCATTTTTCTCGGTTTAATGAAAACCAATTAGTTCGTTATGGCATAGGCGATTGCGTGTAGAATAGGTCAGCATCCGGGTATCTCTCCACTGGAAGGTGTTAACGCAAACGTGTAAGTTTCACGTTTGAGGAGGTTAAATCTTGACATCTACACGTTTTAGGAAAATTGCCTTTTTTATTTCTAAATTATGACTATTTTTCATCTAAAAAACATACTAACATTATAAGGACAACCAAGGAAACATTATAAAATTATAAAATAACCCCATGTCAAGGGACCTTTAAGTACAACAATATCAGTTCTAGGTTTATGGATATATGATGATTCAGATACTCCAGTGTTTTTGATTCACTTAAAAGATTCTTTGCTTGGAAATCAGACTTCACTGGTCTATCCAGATTGGGGGCTGTACTGAAGCACCGAAGTATAACAAACAGTCTTTAATTAATAATCAGGGAACAGACAGGAGAAAAAAGAAATCCATAGAACATAACCACATCGCGCGTAAATGATCAACAAAGGTAGACAACCCAGTGCCGGCCCAGATCCGGCCCACATCTGGTACTTTTGGATTCCACACAGTGGGCGAAAGCTGGGCCGACACTATGCTGTCTGGGAAAAGACTGACTGAAACTGGGCAAACAAATGAGCAAGCGAGATAATTGACAAGACACACCTGAACAGAGTACATGGTATGGGAACCGTAGAGAACTGAACTAATTAACAAACTAAGAGATTAACAATGAAACTCAGAGAGGAACATAACATAAAAACAGATAAAAAACTAACTCTAAACATGAACAAATAAATTCAAAATGTGACATGGTCATGCTGTGTTTTTCATTCCCTAAAAAGGACCACCTTCAGTGGGCACATGCTGTATGTTTTGGATTTACTAAAGAGTCAGATGCTTTAAAATTAGACTTCTCTGGTATGTATTGCGCTGAATAGAAATAAATATAACACATCAAGAACATTTGAATGCAGTCTTTCACTTTAATTTGTGCTTAGTGACTTTTGAGATATGTCAGTCGTCCACAGTGGCACCAACACATCACATGCCTCAAAATCTGTGCTTCAGTGGCTTTAAGGTTGGGTGTGTAAACCCAGTGTCTTCATGTACTTATTTTGCTTCCTTTGGTGGAAGAATTTCGCCTTTTTCATTAAATAGGAGCTTCAAAGCCTCTGCAAATTATCTAGTGTGGCTGGAGAAAAGGCTTTTCAGGTGGTCTGAAAAAACCTAAAGAAGAGATGACAAGAATCAGTTGTTCTGAAAATAGACCGCCTGCTGAATAGAGAAAAGGCCACAGAGGCACAGTCCTGGAGCTGGAGCTGGAGGTGATAAAAGATCAGCTTGGGAGGAATGGACACACTTTCAAAGGCCCCTCCTCACGGCGAACCCCCCGCTCCACCTCCCTCCACGAGGCATGAAACCAGGACAGGTCAAGAACAAGAGTCCCACTGTAAAGAGATCTGGGGATTGTCCAAGGTAGCAGATTCCTGTCGAGTGAATGAGCTTTAGGCTGCGTTTCCTATGTCCTAACCCCTTATCGCTAACTGTGAAAGAGCATAGCAAATATCAGTGGCTTGTCAGCTAGAATGATATCCACTTCAGTCTCTGGTGGCTTGTGATGTTAAATAAGATATATGTCTGGAAGTATCTGAAAGAAAACCAGGAGAAAGGGGAGCAGGAAACAGACAATGAGAACAGCATGTCAGTGCCAGCACACATCAACCAAATCTCGCTCACCCACCGTGACACTCAATGTAGTACTGATACCATCACTGAACAGTGTTTTGGTATAAGACATTTACAGGCTTCCAGAACCCCTACGAGACTTCAAACATTCCTTAACCTAGTGCAAAACCGCAGTTTGAGAGAAGAACAGCCCAGGGGTATTGTGGGGGAAAAATCTTTTGTTTTGGAAATGAAGCAGATGTAACATTAACTTTAGTATGGGAGCCTCAATGTAAAAAGTAAGTCATTGAAATTCTACAATGTGAATTTATTTCTTATTTTACATATTATCTCACAATTACCACTTTGAAGCTGCAGGCTTGCATACTTTGGCACAGTGTGTGGCTAGTTTAGTCGAGCAAATGTGAAGTGATTCGATATGCTTTTTGCTATGCACTTGAGCAACAAAAGCAATCGAAATGTTTTCCCCCAGTTTGCTTAATTAACATACACCCGCACAGTGTCGGAAACTGTTTAAAGCTGTGTATATAAGCCATTAAAGTCCCTAGTTTTTTTGCAATGAGTCTTTAAAACATTTAATCAAAGAAAGAATGAAAGAAAGGAAGAACGAAAGTGTTTTGTGCTTGAGGAAGATCAAGGTCAGAAGGTTATATTCAAGCTTGCACTGTGGGTCAAGACGCCATCATGACTGAAACACACCCAGATATTTCTGGAATGTGTCCTGCCATGAGACCAACCCACAATAATCGGTCATTTTAACCCCTTTAAATCCTAACAGGTAAGATTACCTTTTTTAAGGGGTCACAATAAACATTTCATGCTAAAAGAATTACCTAAACACATGTAGCCTACATGTGTTTACTTGCATTGAATGGCATAGTACATGCAGTGCAAATTAACTGGCTTGAGATGGAATGTATTACCTAAAGACATGCCTGCCTTGACTGTCACCTATTTGATAGACAGCTTAATAACACCTGTAGAAATATTTTAATGTGTGCCAAGACATGCCCAGAATAAATGCTCATATAGCAGACAGGTCGTGTCATATAGAGAATTACGAGAGAATGACGTGCTGTACTGAACACGTATCAGACTGTTCACACATTAATGTTGGTTTAGGACACACCATCTTCCTCTTTATCCCTGTAACGGCGGCACTAGGACCCCGCAGGGATGCGCATTATTGCGCCTCGGTTATTGGGCTTGGACGACCTCAGTTTTGCACTACCGCAATCACCATTCAGCTGAGAGTGAGTGTGCTGTCTGCTTTGTTGAAATAAGGACTCTTGAGAAGAAGCCGTTTTTGAATAAAAGCTGACGGTTAAAAGGATTGTATATGTTTTTGGTGGACCTGTCACGCGCTCCAGCACTTCACAGTGGAGATGGGAGTAAACCTGGAGAATGGGATACCCCGGTAAACTTCCTGGAGACGAATCTATGATTTGGATTTAAACAAGCCTTGATCACTATTAACACAACTTGTTAAGTTAAGTATCCTCAGCGAATTCCGAAACTGTTTTGTGTAATTTTCTCGTTCAGACGCGTGCGTAAGGCTCTGCCGCACGGGTCAAACACTGCAGCTCTTGTTGGCTGCACGCAATAAAATCCCTGTTTAATTCTGGATGCCTCTACAAGCTGCGAAAAAAAAAAAGCTATTTTAAATCTCCTATTTTATTTAAACCAACTTTTCCATTAGAAAATGCTCAGTTTGTGTAGATATTTAGGCTACTAGGCTATCTCATGGCTTCCTTTTGCGCAAGTGAATTGTAGTTGTTGGTTTGTACAGAGCGATGGGAAACTGAGGGTAGGTAAACACAGTTTGTTTTCCTTGAGTTTAACAACAACGCAAGGCGTGAGCAGGGTTCGTTGGGTATTCATTCATGATGTGAAAGACAACAAAAAAGAAGAAATGAGGGGCTTTCGGGACAAAGGGATGTTAACAGGTTGTGTCCAGGGAATTCCTCAGGTGTCACACATGGGTGTCATATTATACAATGCATAAAGTAGGCCTGCTAAACAAAACCCCTTAAATACAATATAAAATTACAATTTATATTCAATTCAATTCAATTACAGCTTTGGTATGAAGTGACAGTCGTTAGTAAACAAACTTCATTAATGCAGGCAGAATGATAATTCCACAACCACTGGTACTATTAGAACGGATAAGAGCCAGCTAAACATGTCAACGCTCTTAAAAAATAAATGTTTTAAATGGGAGTTTTCACAGCAATGTTTTTTTCCGGTTTCCTTTCAGTGAAAGCTGAAATACACTTCTACTCAACATGCGTACCCCAATTTACAGCCTGCAATTTGACACTCCAACCTTTAGAACATTTTAGTAATCTGAAGAACATTTCTCCATTTCCATGGATGATAAAGGTTTTTCATGGCACCCAAGATGCCAACATTTTTTTTAAGAGTGAAGCCATTCAATTTCTATGACCTTATATCTTCAAAATTAAAAACATCTTGAGTTATTATTTCATACTTGTATATATTTGTGTTTGCTTTTAGGTTGCATAATATATCTTAGCCATGGTGCCTAACCGCACACTGGGACTGGCCCATCCTTGCTGTGTTAGCCTGCTGTTCTTACTCCTCTTGCCCAGCTCGGTTTCAGTGAGAGAACCTCGACATCAGTCTCCCGCCCACCTCCCCTCGCTGATACCTCATGCCACCCTACCGCTGTCCCGCTCCCGGTTCAGCGCCAAAGCTCAGCTGGACCTCACTACTCACTGCAACGAGAGCTGCTACCACAAAGAAGGAGACATGGATAAAGAGCACCTAGCTTTCGAAACACTTTATGCAGATGGCTCCCGAACATTAACCACTGTTGACCTGGATGAAAATGAGACTGAACTTCCTTTCAGGCAGCCCAAAGTAACCGATCCCAGACATAAACGGCTAAAACGGCAGATTTACGGTTCAGACGGACGCTTTAACATCCGCGGTGATCACTTCCTTCTGGACTACCCGTTCTCCACAGCCGTCCGTATCTCTACCGGCTGCACTGGAGTTCTGGTGTCCCAGCAGCACGTGCTGACCGCAGCCCACTGTGTGCATGATGGGAAAGATTACGTCAAAGGTGCGAGGAAACTCAGGGTGGGCTTTCTGATCCCTCTGTCTGTTAACGGCACGAGGCCGGGTCAGGCTCCTTCGAAGAAACCCTTGGTGCGCTGGGTGAGAGTTAAACGAACCCGAGTTCCTAAAGGTTGGATTCAAGGTCCTCAAGAGGTCAGCATGGACTTTGACTACGCACTTCTAGAGTTACGTTGGCCTCACCGGCGTCCCTTCATGCGGCTGGCTGTGGCACCCACCTCAGACTATTTGGCTGGGAAACGCATCCACTTCTCTGGATTTGACAGTGACCGGCCTGGGGAACTGGTGTACCGCTTTTGTCCGGTGGAGGATGAGTCCAACGATTTGATCTACCAGCACTGTGACGCCCGTCCGGGTGCGAGTGGCTCTGGTGTTTACGGACGTGTGTGGGACGATACTTTAGAGCGCTGGGAGCGCAAGGTCATCGGGATCTTCTCGGGCCACCAGTGGCTGGAAATCAATGGAGAGAATCGTGACTACAACGTGGCTGTTCGCTTCACTCCACTGAAGTTTGCTCAGATCTGTTACTGGGTTCATGGAAATAAAGTGGACTGCAATCAGGACTGAAGAATGGGACAATATCAAATCATGGACAAAATATGACGTGCCTGATTTTGGAACCTGCACTTTACAGTCTATTACGGGTGTGGCTACTGAATCTGAGACGAAAGAAGGTCCACGGCTGGTAGATCGCTTCCCACAGACTTTGATCACTCACATGGGTTGAGCTGGAACTTTATTTAACCACTACCTTTAGTTTTTGCTCGCTATACTGCCAACGTTACTCAGCTTTCGACTCTGAGGTCGACAACACCAGTAGATTTAGCTTGTCAAGTCTTTGATCTCCCTTCCTAGAGAGCAACGTAGTGTCGGCCCAGATCCCTCGCACTTGGAATCCACACGTACCAGGTGTTGGTCGGATCTGGGCCGACACTATTTTGCTGTCTCGGTTAAGGGATTCTCTCCACAGCCTTGCTTTGTTCAGATTCTACATTACAGAAGCTTTAAACTGTTGTTTGCACTTTTAGAAACTATAAATGGGATGGAGGTTTTATTCTGATCTCATGCCTTGGGTTTTGTGTAACAATTAACATACACTGAGTTTAATTGATGACTTAAAGTAGAGGAAATTCCTTAATTTCCATCCCTGAACATCACAACAAAACTGATGACTGGAGATGTAGTGTTGAGAGTTACTAGAAATTAAAACCATAGATCCTTAGTTTATTTTAATGCATACATCTGGATATGTAACCCAAGAGTACAATTCACTCCTTTTCAAGACAGATGAAGAGTTCATAATATTACATGTTTGTAAATATTTTTTCTTATTCTTTTATGTTGAATTAATATAAATACCAAACAAACACAAACTAAGAGAAAGGTTGTGGGGTAAATGTTGATTATAGTTCTATTTTTAAAAAGCTTTTTATTTTAATAAACTAAAATATGTCTCTTGTTTTTGCTTTTTTCATTACAAATTTAGAGGTTATTAATTTGCAAAGAAGTGGTAATATTAGCAGATGTGATTCTGTGTTGTATATTTCAAGCATGATAAAAAGAAGAAGAAAAAATCTGACAATTATTACTGTATATAAAATGTGACACTGATACCATCTGGTGGTAAGAAGAGGAAAAATACTGCCAGAAACCATTGGCAACCTTTAAACAGCGGTTATATTACAGTTACTCTTTTTTTTGGCTTGTTTTGTTTATATTTCATAGAGAATATGTGAGTTCAGTGTTGTAATAGCTACTACTAGCACTACGAAAGGCAGAGGTACAGAGACGATTGTAGTTCAGCACAGGAAGTTTCATTTTTTTTCAGTAAGGTTCTGAAATGAATCTCTACTGCCCTCCAATGGTTGACGTGTAAATCTTTCATTGAGTCTTGTCTTTCACAACATGGCTGAACAGTAAGTCCTCGCGGTTCTGTCAGTCAGTCCGGGGAGCGATTATACTGAATACATTATTATGATATAGTGATGAATACATTATTCAACAGTATTGCAGGAGGTCAGCGATTTAATATAGCACAAATTGTCCAGTAAGCTATGTTTTAAAGAACAAACTAGTGCATCACACTACACAAAAACATCACTAATTCATTGAAGCCATTCAAAATTGTTATTACCACCGATATCTCTGTAGTAATAAAATAAACGTTTTAATAACGGTTTATCAGCATGTTCTCAATTACTGATACCCATCCTCAGGAAGTTTAATGACAATGGTTCATCCACATTTATATTCTACATAGGCCAAATAGATGTGACATGTGAATGCTTTTTCTTTTTCCGTCAGTCACCCTACCTGCCTCTCTGTTCTGTGTGGCATCTTATTCTATCAAAAATGACAGGCATAAGATAAGGAAACATCATTATGCCACAAATATCGGTAACACGTTACAATAAGGTTCGTTAGTTAACATTAGTTAATATGAACTAATAATGAATAGCACATATACAGCATTTGGTAATCTTTGTTGATGTTATTTTCAACATTTACTAATACTTGATTAAAATCTTGTTAACATTAGTTAATGCACCGTGAACTAACAATGAACAGCTGTATTTTCATGAACTAACATTAACAAAGATGAACAAATGCAGTAACAAATGTATTGCTCGTGGTTAGTGCATGTTAGTAAATACATTAACTAATGTTAACTAATGAACCTTATTGTAAAGTGTTACCCAAATATCCATGAAACACTGCTATCATTTCTCAAAAAGAGAGATTTAACCAATTAGCCTAAGGAAATGATTGCATGTTTATTAATACTATCCAAAATGCAGTTGACATGCTAACGAACGACCGTATAAGATGGATTTGCGATCATAATAGTATCACTATAATCAGCTATTTTTATTATTGGCTTACAGTCTACTGAACTACATTACTAAAAAACAAGCCATAAATCAAATCCGTAAGGACGATGACAAAGCAATCAGTCTCTGTTGAACTTTATGAATTTTACAACCATCACATATCAAGTGTATAAATCATGCTGAACACTGATAACAGTAATAAATCCAGAATAAATAATGCAAGCGCATATATAAACCAACATTAAAGATCAACTCGAGATTCAAAGACTTTCGAAATTAGATTCACAAAAAAAAGCCAGCCTTCACACATAATTTGCCAAATATAAAGAAACAAACCAATTGTAACAGCAGAGTTGTTTAGTGCTTTTTTTTTATTAGAGATAAGGAGACGATACAAAACATCCACTGACCAATATCAATCAAAGCTCTGTACACAGGCTGCCCAAATATATCGCTCCCCATCTAAACTTCATACGTGTCCATCAATCCACTCAATCCAATTCATCAACAGACAGCTCACCCACTAGGTCCCAGATTTTACAGGTAGAAGGAATGTGTACAATTTCTTGACACCAGTGCCATGGTTTTGAATTACATTTGGAAATATTTAAATCAGATGGAATCAATAAAACATGTGAGCTCAAAATAAAACAAAAGGGGGGGGAGGGGCAAGTAAACTGTTCCCAGAATGGTCCAATAACATTGTGATTTGAGAATTTTGTACTTAACCTAGTCAACACACATACTTAGAAAAACTTAACTATATGTTTGGCAAAACAAAAACAAGAAACCTAAATCTTAAGAACAAAGAATATGTTGTATAGCTGAATTGTAACGGCTGCTGTTTCAGTCTTTTCTTTCGACAATCCCACGGAACTCAGAAAGAACGAAAACCTGCCAGTACACATTTACAGTTATATTACTTTGTTTTTATAATCATCATCCTTCATTTTTGTCTTTTAAGATCTTTTTTTTCTCTTTAATGTTTTTGTTCATTGTATGTGTGAACTGGAATGACAGCCTACATCTTTCATCAGGTGTGGAGTTTGGAAACTGTCACTTCTGCCCAACCCTCCCCACCCACATTAACCCACCCCGTGGTCCCCACAAACATTCGTGCTGGCCCACCTGCCCCACCCATGTCGGAATGAACGGCCAACCCCTGAAATGTCAGCCTCAATCGGAAAGAGGCTTCCCCTCGAGAGTCACCACTGATGAACCCCCAAGCTTCTCAGCAAGGGTCTTTCGGTCCTTGATATCATCCAAACCGTTCACTTGCCACTCGTGCTTGATACCTGTGAGACAAGAACAAAAATGCTACAGATCTCACATTCACACACACACATTTTTAATTAACAAAACACTGCATGAATAACTTAAATTATTTCTAATATAAATTAAGCTATACATGCAACATTATTTGTTATAATACATTTTAAAAAAAAGTGCATGTGTAGAATAAATTTAAGTAGTTACTATTATATATAAAACTTATTTGTTAAAATATAATTTGTATTGTACATGAAACACCTTTTATTTATACATTTTATAATTGTACATTTGTGTTTATTTTCCTTTCTTTTTTTGGATGGACAGCATTACCTGTAAACTTCTTCTTGATGGCATCCTTGGAGCTGGCGTAGATCATCTTGCTTTTAAGTGGGGCACTCTCTGGGGCCCTGGACGACACAAGAGATCAGATCATCCGTTTCATACAAGCATTTGACAGGTCTACATCAGAGGTGTCCAATCCTGTTACTGGAGATCTACCTTCAACCCTAATCAAACACCTGAACCAGCAAATGAAGAGCTTCAGCAACACAAAAGTTAAACAGGCTTGAAACTGAACTCTGCAGAAAGCCACATCTACAGAAACAGGATTAGGAACCCATGGTTTAAATGAAGTACATCCACAGACTCACCAGAAAATGAAAACCAGGTCCTCTTTCTTGGTCTCTTTAGTCTCATACGTGGCATCATAGAGAGCGTAGCGACAGTCATTGGGAGGAAGCATCTTGACAAACTTAAGGTAGGGATCTCCTTCATCTCCCTGCAGGATCTCCTGGCCCTCCTCCATAATGATTTTCTTCTTATCCTCACTCAGGCAGAAAAGAACAGCCTTCTTCCTCTTGCTCTTCTCTTCCTCATTGCTATGAGCCTTGCGAACCTTCATATCATTGAAGACCGTCAACACATTCTCTTCCACTGTAACTCCGGAGGCCTGCGAGAGCACAAAACACACACTGGATAAGGTCACATGGGTTTGAATAGAGGGAAGTGAGTGAGCTGATGAGCAAGGATGCATGAATGTGTGGGTGCAAAATGAGAAGTGAATGAATGAGGCTTTGCACCAAACTGTCTTGTCTGATCTAGTTAGACGGGCTGCCCTTTTAACAAAACTGAATACTTGGACCTCATTTGGCTGAAGCCAAACTACTGGGCCTGCAGGTTCTGCAGCACAAGAAAGCAGCAAGTGACTAAAAACCAAAAAAAAAAAAAAAAAAAAAAAAAAAAACAGCCATGGGACTACACACTTCAAGGGCAATGGAATGAGTCTCATAGCAAAAGCACTAGAATGACATTCTGGGTGAAAATTAAACATTATTCCAGTTAATGTGGTTTCTAGCAAGTCAAAGAAAAAGGGTGGATTAAACAAGGCACCATTCTTTCCTGGTCACACGACTTCAGACATCCTCCAACACATTTGAACAGAGGGATGGTTGGGCACTTCCTCATAAGAGCTGATGAAATTTATACTGATCATCGGATTTAAAGCAGGACCATTAACGTGTATAAAATTGGCCATAGATATTATACGAGCCATGTCATTCAAATCTGGTGTGCAGCTTTAGATTGCAAAACAATGATTCTTCTGTGAAAAATCAAAATGGCCTCAGTCACACCAGTCCCATGAACCTACTCAAGTCCTCTGATTTCCATTAGAAACAGGGATCAGTGACTAATGCTGCATTGCTACAACCAAATTGAAAACATCTCAAAGAAATCTGAAAATTACCTTTCGGGTAACCTGAACGTTTAGTTATCTAGACTAGAGCAGATCTAGCTTCTGAATAGACCATTAGGACATGTGAAAAGGTGGACGGGAGCCTTGTGGGGGAGATGTTTGAGTGGCCCACTTACAGGAACGCATGTCTAAAAGGGAGGAACCAGGTTTGCTTAAGGTGTGAACGTCAGGAACGCTTTAACATGCCTCATTACCTAACAAATCACAAATAATGAAAGAAATAGGGCATCAAAAGGCCCAAGGGATCATCAGGATTCCCACACCTTTTGAAAAATGAATCATGACTTTCAGTCTATTATGACTACTGTATAAATACTTTCCATGGTTGTGGGGATCCTTGGTTCAGGCAAAAATACCTCTTAGATAAATTTATCTTTGAATCATCTACAACTGTTTAAGACAAATGCTAGGTCTTCCACCAGTATCTTAAGAGAAAACATGCTAATCTGTCATAAAATAGTCCAAAAGTCCAAAGTTAAAGCAGAAGGACAATAATGCAGCAGGTAAATCATCCACATTCACTGAGAAGTGAAACCCACAGTAGAAATGAGATACAGGAAATGACAACGGTATTATATATAAATATATATATTTTTTTCTTTTAAAGTCATCACTTGCCTCACAGAAAGAGATTTTGATTTTGTGTGTGGCCTATGACGTGTATATTGTCCTGGTGACGAGGATACCGAGACTGCTCACACCGGAACCGGCATTTCCTTCAGCCTACACGCGACACGAACGCAATTTCCTCTCAATCTCACAAGTAACTTATATCTTCGTGTCTACAGAAACAAGCTGACGAAAGCGACGCAGCAGCGGCTTAATAAAGCAAGGAAAGCAAATTCAATCAAATACTCACAAGCACTGCACGTCACAGACAAGAAACGTCATGTGTTTAAAGACAAAATGCCGATAAAACGAAATGCATTTACATTATGGAAATTAAACGCGTCGAGCAAAGATAAAAAACGTCAGATAAACTACGATTCACCAAAGTTACGTTACGTCCAACCAGGAAGAGTGTAACGTTAGTCGTGCACACGTTGCCTGACGATACGCATATGCACAAGTGTTAACGGTTCTTAAACTCTGCTTCCTTCCTCCCAGCGCATATTTTATAATGTTTCATATAAACCCGTGCTGTAATCCACCTAAAACATTTTCCTAGTCGAGGTTTCTTTTTTCGGTCAAAGAAATAAACCACCACCATCTGTGCATCAAGAATTAGGGTGGGGCCACGGTTGCGGTGTTCGTGCATGCGTTCCAAATATCCGCAAAATTAACGCGCTCCAAAGACGAAAAGCGAAGTATAAACACGCGGGGCTTCGACCTTAGAAGGGAATAATCTGCGTTTTTACACATGTCCACAGTCTCTCTGGTGCAGCAAATGTGAGGGATGGTGTTTTCTGGCCGTGTTCAGACAAAGGACAGACTCAAGAAAGCGCTTCATCTGACAAACGAAAAAACGCAGTTAAACACACACCGGTTTACAGACATTGATTTATACACACCCTCTCTTAATTTCGCCGTGCGATATAATGGCGTGTGGAGAGATGGGGCCTGTAGTTAGTGTGTAACGAAAAGCAGCGAGGCCTTTCCTGGGCCTCGACTCACGGAAATAAAGGAAGCTGAGCGGGGAAATGGCGCCAGTAGTTTTTGGGTCTCATTTTTGCCAATCTCACCGCATCCGAATAGCTGAAGGCCACGCACAACCAAAATATCGAGAACTGTGAGATTAACTGTAACATTATATATAATTAAAACTGCTCAACGAAAACTGCCACAAGAGCAAACCCAGTTTGCGTTTTTCTAACAATGTACGGCACTTAACGTAGCCTGCAGCTATAGTCGGCAGAGGCGTTAATTGACAGATTTGATTCTCAGGTTATTCATTCACCCGAAAAAGCCCACAGCCTAGACATTAAACTCTTCAAACACGTTGGAAATAGGCGTAAATCGCATAATTATTATTTAAATGTAGACATACCATGGTTGTTTCTCTGTGCTAGTCGGCGTCTGGATAGGAATTGAATGAGCTGTGATGCAGTCCTTCGCTCTCACACTTGATACAACGCTCGGGCGCGCCCTTTTGCTCGTGGCCGCGCGGCAGATGGGAGCGAGCATCCGTGTCACGCGCTTATTGAGGTGTTATGGGAACTGTAGTTTTGGGCTCCACACAAATGCTCGTGAACACATTAAAATATATTCAGTTGTCAGTAGTGCATTGTCAGAAGCGTATGGCCGTTGAAAAGCGTTTATACAATGTTGTACATTAAAGGTGCACTTTTTCAGTATTTGCTTATTAAGCAAGAAGATCAGTTATATTTTATTACATAAATACAATATAGCACATAATGTGTCAATTTTAACAGTACTCTAAAATGTATACCAACCCTTAATTATATATTATTTAATTCAATCATTAATAATACTGATAATATTATTACATCTCATAATTTGACAAGAACTTTTAATTAATTACTATATTTAAATGTATTCTTGTGAACTTGCGAGGGAATTCTTGTGATGTGGCTTTCTACCTTTGGTAACGTGACATGATGGAAAGCGCTGTTGTCCTACAAATTCTGCACTGAAAACATACTACAGTGGTTGCAATATTCGTTAGTGGCTCGTAGGGCACGCTGTGGTCTGAGCCTAACCCTTTGTGTTTGTCTCTGCCCCCTTTTAAGGTTCGCTTAACTCGCTTCCAAATAAGGAAGCAAATGGTGACAGTCGTGAGCGCGCTTCAGCCAAAGCCGCGCACATCAGGCGGCTCGCGACTCCGATCGCCATATAAGGAAACAAGGACATTTCATTTCTTTAGAAAAAAATTCACACAGTACGCGCTAGAGGGAGCGGTGTACAGCAGCAAAGAATGAAACTACAAAGAGGGAAGAACATACCTCGCTGACCAAAGAACACAGAATATAATTTATTATCTTCAATTTCCAATCAACCAATGACGTATTAATAGTTCCATTTACTCGATTTTGCTCATTCGTACTCTTCACGGCTGTTCAAAACGTGTCCATGAATGAATGCTTTCGCTTCCTCACTGAAATGTTCTCACAGTTTAAAGCAATGCTGTCACCTAGTGTGAAAAAGTTTACTCTTTTGAATACAAACAAGTCCCACGAGTGCATTGCATGCTTATTTGTTTATTTTTAGGGTTGAATATATAATGTAAAGTGTATGCAGCAGTAAAAAGTATAAACAGGGACAGAGAATGATCCCTGGTAGGTGAGTTTAGGCAGGTCCACTCTATTGAAAACGTGAAGAGATCGGACACATTCAAAACCCAACAAACGAGGCTTTGGTGGAATGCATCAAAGAACAATGCCACAGACACATTACAGACTTGCCTTGGGGGCAAACACATATTGTCATTGTCTGTAAAAATCTGAAAAACAAAAACAGATCTGCTTTCACATACTATCATATGTCTGGAAACTGAATTATCCAGGTATACACTTTCACTGCCAAATCATACATGAAAGAGGAATGTCATATGACAAAAATGAAAACGAAATGATAGTAAGACGCAACAGTGCTCAAACTACTAAAAAAAACAACAACAAAAAAACAGAATCAAATCAGGTGTTTACTAATATGATATGCAAATATGAACCTGATAACAATAGTAAGTTACAGAATAGTGCACAATGACTGAGCTTTCCTCAAGGCATTTTATAACAGTTAATATTGGCTTTTCTATCAATACTTTCATTCCAACTTAATCATGCGTCAGGATGGTTTTGAACACCCAACAACATGCCAGCAGTTAAAAGGGGGTGTACAGGACCAATCGAGCACTCAAGAAGTCCATTGGAACGGAATAAAATATGTTTGTTACCCTGATGAAACAAAGTGAAACAAACTTATTGACAGGATTTATCGCAGAATTCATAAATGTATGTATACAAGATGGAATGCACAGAAAGGCCACAGTTTGGTACACAGCTTATAAACCAGGTCTAGCAAAGGTCAGATAATAGTGTATTTACACTTTTAATACTAAACATCATATCAAGCTCAAGCCTTAATGAAAATGGCAGTTCATGTGCAAAGGTATTCATGGCTAAAGAGAACAAACCAACAGAGCGCAATGCAAGTGCAATCCAAAAGTTACACGACCTTGACCTGCTATGGAGGATGTATTTGGCTGTACAGGAACGAACAACTGTAAACGTATCAATGCAGCTCTGTGGAGAGAGCCCTTGTGCTAAATACACAAATGTCCCTGAAAAACTGCTGGTTTGTGATATTTGGTTTATATTCATATTTGTGTTGATATTTAAAAATCTGGTTTAAGACATCTTGCAAAAAATCAGTCAACCTGAATTATAAGGAGAGATTTAAGTCCTATATTCGGAGATCAGCAATATTTGGTATCATATCATTGGTCGCGTCTGTGCAGTTTACATCTCAATCAAACTGAAGATGCCAGGACAAGAAGCTATCTAGTCTTCTTATGTTGTGCAGCCACCTGAACCTGGCCTCTTGTCTTGTTTACCACATCTGTGGCCTGGGAAAAAAATGGAGAAAAAAAACTATGAGCATTCTATGCATTAAGGAAATTTTTTTTAAGGTGAAGAATGTAGGATTTTTATGTTTAAATACATTCTCCTAACCAAGATAATTGTTCATGGACTATTATTAGTATGCCATTCATGGGTTTATCTCCCCCAAAACTGTAAATATTGAGCCTACCAGGCACCATAAAGCGTAACACGGCATTCACATTCTTCTCATGGTAGACATAGATTCCACAGCTAGATCAATGTATTTAGAAGCCCTATGATTACAATGACCATCATTTGAAGTGTCACACAATTTTGAAATGATGGTACATTATGTGATTTTTTTTTCATTATAGATCGTCCATCATACAGAGGTCAAAATTACAAATACGATAATTATCGTACGTCTGGCAACGCTGACCTATAGTGAGAGTTAGGGGCATGGCTTCTGTTGCAGGCTTTTTTTTCTTTTCTGTATTAAGACCTTCAAAGATTAAACAGGCCATGAACTCATCATGAATGCGACTCTCAAAGGGATAGTTCACCCAAAAAGTAAAGCTCTTGGATTTCATAAAAAAATTATCTTTATTTGTATTCTGAAGAGGAACGAAGGTCTTAAAGGTTTGGAACGACATGAGGGTGAGTAATTAATGACAGAATTTTCATTTTTGAGTGCACTAACCCTTTAAGACAAATGTAACCATATATTATGTTAATTTAGATGTGTCCAGCGTACAAAACCTTAAGTCAAAAAAAAAAATGCACCCTGTCCAGATACGTTGCAAGGTTTTATTATAAGTGAGACGTTAACGTTCGCTCAAGACAATGTTATTAGACAACTTAATTGCTTACTCATGACATATACCAACACAGCTAAAAATACTGCTAATAAATTGGACCTTTTATTGAATGTAGCAACTTTTACCTATTGAGACATGCCTTCACAAGCACACGTAAAAGCTGTGATTGTTATGTTTGAGTTGGGGGAGACATGATGCGCAAAAGGGGGCATTTGCAAGGTTGTTTTATTTTTTGTAATTTTGCTAGGTGCCACTAATGTCGCAGAAACTACATGCTTCACCTTTAAATAAAAACATTTATTAAAAGAAACATATTTACCTGCTCTAGTATTACTCCAGCAGCTTGGTCTATGGCTGTGCCTACTTCTCTGTACTGGCCAGAGTACCGGATACAGGCCCAGGTCAGCATAGCAATCATGGCTAGACCAACTACACAGTCACATGCAAAGGAAATAGTTTCCAGGCCAATGAAGTACAAAATTCCTGACAGCACATACAGGAGGCAGATCAGGACAAACAGCACTGCAGGTGTCCGGAAGGCACTGAAAACATTCTTGGACTGAAAGGAACAAGAGAACAAAAAGAAATGGATAAAATCCTCTCAATATCTTTCTCACATTAATTCTTTTGATTCTTTTTCGCAATGCCGTTACCTCATTGTGCTTTTTTAAGGACTCCCACTGCTCCATCAGCTCTGTTTCCAACTGTTCCTTGTATCGGTCACAGAAATCCCGCCCACCCATCTTCTTAGTGCTGGAGAAGAGCTGAAGGGCCGTCTGCAGGAAGAAGCGGTGCTTTTCCTCCAGTGAGTCAGGAGACACATAAGGGAGATCTCCACCACATACCTAACAGTGAGAGGGAATTTATATTAAAAAAAAAGAACAGAAAAAGACAATGCAAAAGTTTGCAAGGTAACATGGGGTAGAATGCCTTTTGATAAATGGCTTTGCAATTTTTTAATTTGCCATATAATCTGAATATAAACATTTGTGATATTAAGTCAGCCGAAAACAGTTTTGAGGTTAATTGATCTAATTTTGTGTTTCTGGAAAATACTGATCATTATGTTGAATATCAAAGTTTTTTGTGTCTATGTGTTAACAAGGGATTTGTGGACACATTCATGTTTTTAGATTTGTGCAGTAAAAGATAACCGTGGAGAAGGTAAACAAGTTGATTTAGTATTTGACATAATGACAATTTAAAACATATATAAATATAATTAATAATTATATCAAAAGTCATTTATACATTCTGTAAAGGTTTATCTGGCTTCTTACCCCAGGAATAATATAATTTACAGGAATTATGACCAGGAATTAGGACCGATGCATCATCATCCCGAACATGCTAAACTTATACCAAAATGTTAGTTTTAAAGTAAATCTACATTGTTCTTATGCGGGTCTTCTTCCCCCAGGTTACCTTATTTGTGAGAATGACACTGAGCTTTAACCAAGTAAAACACAATAAAAGTGACAAGTGACACAATTTATCTGTCTCAGGCTTATTATTTAAGACATTTGATTATTTCTCAGAATTTGTAGGAAATCTTCTTGAATCAAAAACTCAGATCTTATACTGAGGTAAAAGTTAATGAACATGAATGATTCGTGATTTTCATGGGATAAAAAATATTCAGCAGTTGTATTATGCATTAACTGTTTGGGAGGGACTGTAATTATTGTACACATAACAAGAGTTTAACACATTCCAGGTAACATACCTTCTCCATATTCTTGTAGTACTGGTCTCTGGCTGACGCCACCGCTGCAAGGTTATTGGCCTCTGCTGTGGCCTGAATGAGTCAAAACATTACATCAAAACTTGTGATAAAGCAACACCAAATAAATACCAAACATTAGTAAAACTATATGATGTTACCTCTAGCATGGATTTAGGGTGTGGAAGGTCTTCTCCCTGATATATCTTAATATATGCCTGACAAATTACAAAAAAAAAAAAAAAAAAACTCATGAAAAATGCAGTTCAACCAAAAATAGACGAAGATGTTCACAAGCCAGTTTTGAAATACTCACTTTGAAGTACTCCAGCAGGCCTCTGCAGGTCACCTTATTCCCATTGATCTCTTTCACAGCCAGCTGGTCAGTCTTGAGCAGGTTGGGAATGAGTTGACGTAACTGTTCCTTAAAATCTGGAGCCACATCTACGAATCGAAGATGGAGCGATTGTTAAAGAGAGTTAGTACATGTAAACACAACAAATAACAAAAACATGCCAGTCTAAAATGAGGCGGTAACACTTTACAATAAGGTTCGTTAGTTAACATTAGTTAACTACATTAGTTAATATGAACTAATAATGAATAGCACATATACAGCATTTGTTAATCTTTGTTAATGTTATTTTCAACATTTACTAATACTTGATTAAAATCTTGTTAACATTAGTTAATGCACCGTGAACTAACATGAACAAACAATGAACAGCTATATTTTCATGAACTAACATTAACAAAGATGAACAAATGCAGTAACAAATGTATTGCTCATGGTTAGTACATGTTAGTAAATACATTAACTAATGAACCTTATTGTAAAGTGTTACCAATGAGGTTTGAAAATACACTACTTTACTACGGTTTCGGGTCAGAAAGATTTTTTTCTGCCAGATATTTTCTGCCAGGTCATGTTTGTAAATGAGAAGTGGTTCTCAAACATTTTACCTGGATAAATAAAGGTTAAAAAAATAATTACTTTTGCAAGAATGGATTAAACTGATCAAAAGTGAATCAAAAGTTCAGCATATTAGAATGATTTGAAATTACATTTCAAAATATATAGCAGTAGAAAATTATTTTAAATGTTAATAATACTTCAGTTCACAATATTATGTTTTTTTACTGTATTTTGATGGTTGGTTGGTGTTGAAGCATTATAAAATATCTTATCGACCACAAACTTTTGAATGCATGTCATTGTTGTGTGGATATGTTACAGCAGAATTAGGAATGGGTACTTTGGTCATTTTGCCCAAACAGATAAATGAAACCATTTCGGGGTCAGTCATCCAACATTTTAAATTGTGGGTCGATGTTGCATCCCCACCACACTGTATTTTTTTTTTTTTTTTTACAAAATTGTTCGAAGTTGAAAAACCAAAATTAATTATTGTGCTTCCAAATTGAATCTTTGCTGGCAGTATTAAATGCTCCAGTACTTGTGCCCATCTCTAGGCAGAGTGCTTAGTGTGAGTAGTAAAACATGAATGAAGTCTAATACCACACAGCTGTCCCTTGAATGCAGGGCTTGTTGCCACCTTCAGGCCAGGGTGTGGTAAGAGAAAACAGGAAATGGAGGTGAAACAGGAGTGAATGTGCTCTCTCACTGTCTGAAGCTCCTCATGCTGAGTCTGCTTCACCTGTACATCCCCACACACACAAGAGAGAGATCACTAAAGACAAACACACAACTGAACAAATAGTGTACCTTAAGTCATTCTTAGTCACGTACTTGAAGACGTTTGTCCAAGAAACTGCTTCCTCCCTCAAACCCAAATTTATACTCATATGGGAAACTCCAGTCTCTGACCAGGAACATAAGCGACTGTGGGCAAGAAAGAGTTGTGCCGAAATGAAAGAAATACACAATAAAGCACGAAGGCATTAAAACACACAGGCGTAGACATGTCTGTCTAGATGCACTGATAACCAGTTTCAAGTTTCAAGATATTCAACGGCCGTGAGCTCTCAAGAAATTGTTGTCCACGGTTTCATTTAAATGCAGTAATTGTGGATAGGTACCACGGTACTACCACTGTATTTTTATCTTGATACGGATATAAATACAATGAGATATAATTATGATAATCATTCAATATAATATTTTGAATACCATGATATTGCCATCTGATACCATCATTTTAACACGGTGTCACCAGAGGTCTTTTTAGGTCCTGAGGTTATTCTGCTCACAAAGTTAAATGAGTGCCAAGCAAAACAAAAAAACAAAAAAAAACCCACAAATTTGAAATACAAATGTGACCACAGAAGGCAGGCATCACTACAGGTACACACAGACACAATCACTTTTAAACTAACAGGGATTACTACAATGTCAGTATCAGCAAGGTGTGTTCATACCTGAAAAGGCTTCAGAAAGATTTCGTCCATTGCAAGTCGCCCGTACTCTGTAAACAGCTACATAAACACAAAAAAAAGACAGGTGTAATAAGAGTTAGAAAAACCATAAAAAACAGAAAACAAAACCATAAAAAACTGAAAAAACAATGTACAACAACAAACAAAAAAAAACACCAACTAATGACTGTGATATATTGTATGTGAGGTGGTTATGACAAGAGATGCATCAGAACAGATGGGCCTTTCAGTTTAAAGCATTACATATATTTAATGCAATTAACACAGCATCCGCTTTTTTCCCCATCATCCTTTGGCTAACAGGATCACGCTGTTATTCATGCAAATGCTTTTAAACCATTCAAGTGTGATAAGACACAAAAGAGAATGCAGTGCAGAACTGTGAATCTCCTGTCTCTGTGAAACACACACAGTCTTGAGCACAGAAAGATGCTTCAGACAATATTGAACGGAAAAAACCCACAAAATTATACCAAAACAGCTTTTTTGTTGTGTATACTCGAAAGTGTTAGTGTTAAATGAGTTTAATGAAGTCTTAAATGAATGTAAAGAGCTGTGAGAAAATTGGATGCGTGTCAGATCAATGTCATGCCTTTAAGTGACAGCAGCCTAATAAACCTGCTGATGTCTGTCATTAAGGATAATCAAAGAACAAAAGAAAAACAATGAAAAATCACTCAATATTCTTGATTAAGTAACTTTTGTAGCTTTAATAAGTATTAATCTATATTTAATTTATAATTTATGCAGTGAAGTGCTGTCAAGTGTTTGATAACTTAATTCAATTTCTGTATATATCCCAACTGATCTAAAAATCTTAAAGCACTGTTTACAAGGTTACATGAGTTAAAAAACAATGAAAACAATAAAGTTTTGTGCATTTTGACAGGGCAAGTAAAAGTCTGAACTGGTCTGACTGGACCAATAGACAAAAATGATCCCTGATATTAGGGATGCACCGACTATTCGGCCACCGAAAATTTCCGGCCAAAAATGGCCCAAAAGAGCATTTCGCTTAAACGCGTCTAGAGGTCCTGCGGCGCGGTAGACGAATTCACGTCTGAACAGAACAGAGGGGCGGAGTGAGCGAAGCTCATTATCATTTAAAGGCATATGCACTGAAACGGCGTTCAGAAAACAGAGCTGTTTTTGACCAGATAAAATTTGTGTTTTCTTACAATTAATGGGATTTTTTAATTAAAGTATATTACAAAGTTTTAATTTAGACCCTAAAGAATCAAACTCATAACTTGTATGAAAATGGCATTATATGACCCCTTTAAATCGATTGACAGCACTAGCTACAAAAGCTTTAAATTCTAAATAAATGACTGTTTTTTTCAAGAGTTTTTAAATTTACATCTCAACTTAGTAAATGTATCTTGATTTAAAGATGTTTTTAGATATTTGTATTGGAAACCGGGACAAAAATACTTTGAAAGATATTCATTTTTTTGCAGTGCATGCAACATTTAATGCCATGACTTTATGAATTTAAGACTTTCTGCTCTGATTTAAGGCCTTATAGGGCCTTAATTTGTGTATGGATGACTTAAGACTTTTCAAGACTCGCAGAAACCCTGCTTTTAATCCAATAATTGCTCTGTGGTGTAATAAAGACAACGTTTTCCAAATCAAAAATGCAAGACAGTCTCACGACAAATCAGTTGGCTAGTTGTGACTAACCTGAAGTTGCTGTAGATCATCTTCCTGGATATTTTGTGACAGGTTATAAATCTAGAAGAAGAAAAAAAGTAATTATATTTATGACACATTTCCAGTCTTCTTCTTTCAAGTCATTTGTGGCAAAATTGTTAAGATGCATTGTGGAAACCTGGATAGAACTAGTCATGGTGCTGAGGGCAAAGATGGTGGCACAATCTTTCACTGTGGACTGAGAATCAAACGCTCCTTGTGTGTCCATTAAAAGCACTGCAACCTACAGAGAAGAACAAAATGCTCCATTTTAGTACTAAGGTTCTCCAAACTCAAAAGAGTAAGTGACCGGAAGTGATCAAACTGTTTTGACATTAAGCCAGACGATAAAATCTTGAAATTACCACAAACTTACTATGAATCTGATTTCAGGGCTTGTGCAAGAGCAGATTACTGAACAAAAACCACTAGATAGAAACTGACTAATGCTAGTCATTTAGTTCTTCAATCTCAGATCTTTATTCAACTCATACATATCAAACATGCAAGAATTCCACAATGATTTTAAGTATTTCTGAGAAAGCAACAAATAATAACAAACAAACAACTACTATTGGTTATATTTATAAAAGTTCCATTTATAACAACAAAATCCTAAAGTAACAAGTATTGTCATTGTCATAAAGAACCAGTTAGTATCTCACAAGCCTAAATATAACCTAACGCCACAACAATTAGAATTTTGATATGATGCAGATATGACCAAAAGTAATGATTTGCAGTTAAATAAATCATTCAGATGTAAATTCAGTAACTGCCCAAGCTGATTTAGTGAGTGGAATTATTTTTGAATGATTAATAAAAATAAAAAAAACACACACAGCTTGGAAACATTTAAAAGCAAATCGGATTACACTGGTCATGCTATCAGTTTGTTTTATGCAACCAGCAAAAGACAAAGTAGAAGCAGATCTTAAATATACAGATACAAACAGAAACAACATTTTAATGCATTATTTCTCTTTCACTGACTGCAAGTTCACGAATCTAATTGACTACAGTGTTCCCTCTGAATAGGTGAAAGAACTCAAGATAAAAACATTAACACAATCATAAAAATCCTTGGGTCTCATTCCCTAAGCATGTGTACGCACAATTTGTTTTTTAAAAAACAAATCATGATTCATCATTAACTTTCATTCTAAAATGTATTCTAAGTTTATGAAAAAATGTAGGAACAACTAAAAGACACATACACTCTTTGGCCTTATAAACATGTTAAGATGAAATTCTAAACAGATATAAATCTTATATACATTATTATATACAGTATATAAATATTACCTCAGGCACACGGTCGCTCATTTCGAATATTTTGAATTCATCAACATTAGAATGAGGTTGCGAAAAAAATCATTTGCATAATGCGTATGCATATGTCATGAATCAGGCAGAACGTTTTTTTGTGAGAAGTTCACATGCATGCATAAATACGAATAGTGTATGCAATTATTAGTGAAAAAATAGGGCCACATGACCACAGTGCTTTGGCAGCTGTTGGGTGCTTGTTACCTCACTTCCATCCATCTTCCGGACAATGAAAACTTCACTCCACAGATGGATGCCGATGGTCTCTGGGTCGGAGCCTCCTCTCCAGGAGAAACCTGTCAGTGGCTCATTTTCCTGCCCAAGCCAGTCCTGACCAGGCTGCAGGCGATAAAAAAAGGAGAGGTAAATATATTGTAGGAACATGCTCAAGAGCAGTACACCAAGAGGGAGCCAATGATCCTTCAAAGTGTTTGGAATTTAATATCCTAAAACATCCTAACTGGGCAGATTTTTGCCTTAATATTAAATAATGTAAAGCATTACATGATCTGAATATTGAATGCATTGTTTTTCTTTCTGACCTTCCTATACATGTATCGGAGCATGAAATCCAAAACGAAACTTTTCCCTTTTCGGAAGGCTCCAGCGACAGACACCACCACAACATCCTTATCTCGAACCTCAGGCGCCAAAAGAATTCGACTGAGAGCCTCTGTATCCAGATCAAAGGAGTGATCCTCCTTGTTGACTGTCACAATTTGGACTGGCCCCGGTTCACCCCGCATCCTTTGTCCTATATCACAGGCTTTCTGTAGGCAACAATAAATATATTTCAGCTTAATACCAGCAATAAAATAAGGGCACATGTTCATATTTGAGTGCATGACTGTTTGTTTTGACCTTTAAAGCTAGCTGTTAATATCTACTTGGACATATCAGATAGAGTGTATTAAATCCATTTCTGGAAGGCATTATTGAGACAGTACAGGCCCTGTTGGCCAGCAAGGCAGGGTTTGTTGGGAAATTGCGATGTGGCAAGCCAGTTAAAAGGTTCAAGCATGCTCTCTTCTCCACTGACAGATTCCCCAGCTTGAATGTGACTTATTGTTTCAAACATTCTGACTGCTTTCAATAGTACAATCAACACTGCTGTGGAGACGCTTATACACAATTTTATTTGAATATGGTGGATGAGTTTGTGCACAAATATGTGTACAAGCGAAACAACACCGCCTGAGGAATAAAATGCATAACTGGGTCTGGAACAGTTCATGAGGCGTGGAGCTGAAAAACCTGATGAAATATGTCAGAAATTCCTGACAGTCTATTAAAAGAATATGTTATAAGTACAGACAATTGTAGTACTGCTTAATTTATAGTAATTAGAAACTAAACAACTTCTGTCAAATATGATAAAAACAACCAGTGTTGCTTCAAAATGGTTTTGGGGTCCTAAATATTTATAAATTTACTAGCTGCTACATATTTATGAGTAACGTTAACGTTCAATCTGAAACAGTGCAGACACCTCCTTCTTGTTCAGACTGGCTGAATTCCAGATCCTTTATATAATATGTTCCATACATGAACCAGAAGTTGTTTACGTGGTAAGATCTTAAAGGATACATGAATATTATTGTAATATAAAATCAAACTAGCTGATATTAAACTAGCAGGTTACTGTCGCCTCGCCCCAACATTAAGGAGTTTTTCAACCAAACCGACAACGTATTTGAGAAACGAACGAAACAGCCATCTTAAAAGTGTCTTGAACAAGCTTACATATTACTGACTTTAAAAACAACCAATTCATTCCGGTACCTTGTCCTTCGCTTTTCACTGAAGACCTTCCGCGTGTTCTGTTCCAGAATATGAACGTCCAGTTTTAATAAACACAACTTTGTCCGTCAAAGAACCTCCCACCGCGTGTGTTGCCAGGAAAGGTAGTTTTTACGGTACTAAATTTGCATACACTCCAACTGTAACAGGCCACACAAGAACTACAACACCCAAGAGGACCCTGAGTAAAACTCGCTTGACAAGCGTGGTTTGTTTTTATGGTCCAATCAGAGGACATCAATATTATTGAGCCTTAACCAATATTTAAAACTCAGTTTTATTAAAAAATTAATAGAATATTTATATTACCTTTATGATTATATCATTGTACGCACATTCAGACCTGTTTTACTGGTATGTCATTCATTTAAAATCGTTGGCTCATGCCAACATGGAAACAATCCTTAATTTTTTTTTCTTTGAAAAAAGTTTTGCCAGACAAGTAGGGAGTGACTTCTAGGTTTTTGTTTTTCACAATGAGTCATACTACTATGGCAGCCTTCATAGTGTAGCCAGAACCAAGAACCACACAAGAACACATCTACAATTACACAACAGCTGGTATGCAGAGCTTAATCTGTATTTAGGTAATCTGTATATCACATGTTCATGATTAAACATTTCTAAATTGACACAGAACATACCAGCACTTTAAAACTGATTCTATATCACAAAACTATTTATAAAATTATATTTATTTACTTTGCTACTTTTCAAAAGTACATTTGGCAGTTCATCAATCCATTAATATTACATTACTATTACATTTATAAGCAACAAATACAAGGTGTATTGAAAATCCAACCCACCCTCAGGATGATTACCCAAAATGCATACTGTATCCTACATACTTTTGCAGCACATCTGGAGAGTTTTCACTGGCTCAAGCTGTAGCTTAAATTATGCATTTAAACTGGTAGGTCATCTTAAGTAGGGTGACTTTCAGATCTTTTTCTCTCAATTACCCACATTAACAGATGAGACCACTGGAGACCAACCATTATCTAAATGTTAAGATGTGTAATGTTCATAAATTAAGCCGTGCGAGAGATTGTTAACTTCAATGTTTCACTCTCCAAAGTATTCAGATTATACCTGTTATTTACTAAGAGTTTGCTAATTGAAACTAAACATAACTTCAAGGGTTAAATCAGGCAAAGCTTTTATCATAATATTTTAGTACTTTATTGCTAAATGAGTAGCACATAAAGACAGAGTGTTCAGAACATCTGTTCAGTGTCAACCTGTTTAACATGCTAAACTAAAAAAATAAAATAAACACGTATAACTTGCACCATACTACACAGAAAACTAATCACAATAATCAACAAGAAATAAGGGTTAGATATTAATCTTTCCATCTACCCAAACTAAAAGCTGGCAGTTTGTCTCAATAATACTTGAATATGTTCATAATTTTGAACGATTCCATACAGTAAAAACCTCATTTTTTTTACAAAAAAAAAAAAAAAAAAAAAAGTACATCAGAATGTTATCCCCCTTATTTGAGCCTAGAATACAAGAAATCTTTAGATCAATTTTAATAGGAGGGACTTAATGAACAATGGCATGGAAGTGCTTCACACATAACTTGTCAAATATGAAAATAAACGATAAATATTTTGTTCTTAATGAGCGTTCATCATTTTCCAGATGCTTTTTTCAACCAAAGTTACCTGCAATATACTAATTCCAAGGATACTCTCGCAGTACTGTTGTCATTCGCTACAAATTACTTTTCAAATCACTACATTATTCGGGATTGCTTATGTTGCACCTTTTATGACAATAAGTAAAAGTTCAGGCAGTTATAAAGTGCCAATAGTACATCAAGCCTAGAGTTTTCACAATGGCCCTTCTCCCTGATGCTTGTACATAGCACACAGGCAACCTCTCAGTGGTTTCCTCCAGCGAGATCAAGCAGTGACCCTGCAGCCTCCTGAGCCTCTGCATCAAGCTGCAGTATCTCAACCGTCTCCAGGTCCAGCTCTGCGTCTCCAGGAAGAACCAGGTACTGATATTGCTGATACTGATAATAATGTAACTCAATGTAACCACTGTCTGCCAATGGATCTTTCTCCAAATCCTCGCCAGCAACCTCTGTAAGCTCCACAGACTCCATGGGGACCAGCTCCTCATGATCTTGTATCAAAGAACACGGCAGGTTTGAAGACAGAGAATCTAGATCTGAGGAACAGTGAGAAAGTGATAGAATTAAGAGACTTGTACCATACAGAACAGGACTGAATTTTGTGTGACAGTCACTCTATGTGACTCTTCTATATGAAACAGTTGCATCATTATTTTAAAGGGATAGATCACCCAAAAATGAAAATGTTGTCATTACTTAATCACCCCAAGTCTGTATGAGTTTCTTTCTTCTGTTGAACTCAAAAGAAGATATTTTGAAGAATGTTTGTAACCAGACAGTTGACGGTAGCAATTGACTGCCATAGTAGAAAAAAAAAATACTATGGAAGTCAATGAGATAACAAACATTCTTCAAAATATCTTCTTTTGAGTTCAACAGAAGAAAAAAAACTCATACAGGCTTGGAACAAATTGAAGGTGAGTAAATGACAATATTTTCATTTTTGGGTAAACTATCCCTTTAAATAAATGCCTTTCATTCACACAAAATAAAACCACACTAACAAATACCAATTACTGTACTGTTGCATTATTATTTAATTAGTAGTATATGGTAAAATATGTGTGGAAATGAAGAGTAAACGGTCCATTATGCAAGACATCTTTAGTTAAATGACCCTGTAGTAAACCAGCCCGACACAGAGAGGACGGCCATTATGTCAGTGGCTATAAGTTGCTAGGGTAATGTCTGGCTGTTACCAAGGCAACAGCTCACAAACATACCCTGTCTGGGAAAAGTGGATAAAGGCTAGCAAGCAAAAAAAGTGCATGCAAGGGAAGCTAACACTATCATACACTACCATTTAAACTGATCAAAAATTACAGTAAAGGCATTATATTGTTCCAAAAGATTTCCATTTCAAATAAATGCTATGAAACTTTCTATTAATCAAAGGTAAGTTGCCTGAACTGAACTGTTTTCAACATTGATAATAATAAGAAATATTTCTTGAGCAGCAAATCAGCATATTAGAAAGATTTTTGAAGTATCATGTGATACTGGAGACTGGAGCAATGATGCTGAAAATTCAGCCTTGCCATCACAGGAATAAACTACATTTTAAAATGTATTCAAATAGAAAACATTTAAATTGTAATAATATTTCACAATACAACTGTTTTTACATTATTTTTTATAACATTTATACATCTTTTTAACAGTAGTGTATTGACTTGTAAACAGTCTTTTTAGAACGTTTATTTTACATGTCTGTTTTATACTGAAAGATTTAATATTTTTTTTATAATTAAACTCTATAGATGATATCCTAGGTGTTTTGGTCTGTTGTGCTGTAATTGATTATTTGTTAGTATGACAAGCTAAGACCAAAGACCAATTTTTAGCCATGACTGGACACTAAACTAAACTAAGTTAAACTATAATAATTGTGATTACAGAATAAGTGGTTAGTAGATTTTCATTAGAGTGAAAAGTTGTGTTGTGAACTTGTGACTGACCTGACATTTCCATGGTTTCACTCAAAATGTTCTGCCCATTATCAGACGCCTCCAACCTGTTTAGAGTCATTTGTTCATCTGACATCATGCATATTAAGCCAGATAATTCAATATCATGCATCATACAGGTGGAGTATTAAAAGAAAACGAATCAAACTTACAAAACAGGCTTGTTCAACAAGTTGCTGTTGGCGCGATGGCAATAATGTGTTTTCTTAAGAACTTCCAGAAGAGCTGGCTGATATTCTGGACAAACACGCCATAATGAGCCCTTTCCAACAGACTGTAAAACAACACAGGAATATTTGATAAACATATAAAGCAATCTATACAAAAAGAGATCAGAAAATTCTGATCGTAAGTAAAGGGGTCTGACGCACCTGACTCTTATCTCTATGTATTCGTTGGAAGCTCTTGCTCAAGGACAGGTTGTGTCGGACAGAGTTCCTCCATCCACCCGGAGCATCTCTATAGTAGGGAAAGTTGTTGACAATCCACTCATAAATACCTTTCACAGGGAGTCTCTTCTCAGGCGAGTCTTCGATTGCCATGAAGATGAGACTGCTAAAAGAGTACGGGGGTTTGGCAGGGGAGGAAGGCAGCTGTTGGGCAGGAATGGGCACGAAAGTCTGAGGCAGCGTCGTGATTCTGGGCAGGGGCTGCAAGGGCAGCAGGTTCCCTCTTTGATGCAACCAGCTGAGGCAGGTCAGGTCATCCTGGTCAGATACTGTGGAGGGACTGGGGCAGTGTGATCCTCCATATACCTGAGGGGTTGGGGAGGAAGGGAGGGACCTAGGCAGAACAGTGGCAGGCTGTGGAAGAGAGGGGGATAGAGAAAGAGCTTCTGAATGATTTTGGGGGGAATGTAGAGGAGAATGGGGTGGCAGTGCTTGTGTGTATTTCTCCATCTGTTTCCCAGCAGCAAGATACAGGTCCACACATTCACCTGTTGAACTGTAGAAACACACAAACATCTTGATATTAATGTACTGCATATATTATGTACACACGTGCAAGCATATCCTTAAACATTTTTGTCCTTTCTCAAAACAAGCACACCGATTTAGAAATTGTTAAATAAATAAGTAAACAAAATTGAAGGTATTAAACTCAGGAAGGAGAATGTAAAAGTCATTGCCCTTCCACAGAAGTATCATTTCTTATACAGTACTGAGAACACAAGCGAGTAAATCATTGAGCAAGGCAAGTTAGTCAAGCGAGAAATAACATACCATTCAACTGGTGCTAAACAAACACAGTTAATTAATGCGAAATATGAACAGGCTTTATGAAACAGAAATAAAAATAGTCTGACTATTCTTCCACCTAACACAGAGAGCAAAGCCACATGGTCTATAACGTTACACCTGAGGAAATGGCGCAAGAATATTAAGTTACATTTAGAATAATTACCTAAGCATTCATGCTCGCGTGAACGCTTTATGTCAAGACAAAAGAAGGGTGAAAACTTACCTAAACAACCGGGTATGAATTTATAGCATTCAATCTCCTATTCTTTTCTCTTATAAGTTGAAAGTTTCTGTCAAAGTGTTTAAAAAACCTGCCAAAAAAGCTGTTATGTCTCGCACTATCCCGTCTTGTCTGCGCTGTCCTTTCCCACGTTGCCTTGGAAACCAGAAGGACGCTTTGCAGCCGGCGCGCCTCCTGCGCGACCCTTCCTTAAAGAGACAATCAGCTGGATGAAATAAAACGCGTTTGGTTTGATGTTTGCCGTTGGCACTGATACATACGATAGAAACACATCTTTTATAATTCTAATATGGTTGCAGGATTTTGCCCCCAGAGTGTACAGCGCATGATCTATCACAGCAAAAGTCAAGTATTTTAATTTAAGATGAAAACAGTTCTACACACCTCAAAGGCCTAAATTATGGACTTTATTTAGCTATAAAGAGGAACACTGCTATTCATGCACAGATAACCAGAAAAGAAGGGCACTTGAGTTGACCATGTGTTCACCAATTGCACATCACACAAGAATCACATCACAGGGCAGATAGATTAGCATGCCTCTTAAAAGGGATAGTTCACCCAAAGAAATAGTCATTTCACCACCCTAATGTTTTTCCAACCCTGTATGAGTTTCTCTCCCCTGTTGAACACAAAAAAAGATCAGATACAACCGTCTTGTAAACAGACAGTTGACAGCCCCCATTGACTTCCATAGTATTTCTTTTCTTGGAAAAACATGAGGGTGACAAAATCTTATTTTTTTTTTTTTTTGCCGAACTATCCCTTTAAAAAGGAAGTCTGGATTTTGTGACACTAAAACAGCATGGCAAAGTCACAATAGCAGTCAAATGGTAATTTTCCCATTTCTCCATGTGAAATGGCAGAAAAACACAATCCTGTAAAACTTAAATTATATTTTCAACAATTGATCTGCAGATGAAGCCAATATTGAAGATCAGACCACACAAATCCTCTGTGAAAAAAACACAATCATGGTAAGTCACTTTTTTTTCCTTTATATAACAATGCCAAAGTTTGAAGGCATCCCAGTCCAGCATTGTCATTTTATAAGTTCCTTCATAGAATTAAATACTGTAGGTCATCTGACCAAATGAGCGGTGAGCCAGTAAATGATGATTGGCTGAAAGGCAGCAGATGCCACAGTGATGTACAAGCGAAAGCGGGGCTTGACACTCCCTCCTGCACCTATGGAGTCTGCTGAGATTGAAGAAAGGATCTTCATTTTTAGAGAACGAACCTGGGGAAAAAAAAAAGAAAAAAGAATGAAAACCATAAATGTGTAAGCACCACTTTTAAACAAACTCCTAAACACAACTTACAATAAAAAACATGAGGGCACAAGAAGACCAAGCAAGAGCAACAAAGTAGCCATCACTGCCAAAGAGCAGTCCACACAACACTGTTAAAATCATCCTGAAAGACAAAGACAAAAATAGTTTTTAATTCTATATAACAAAAACACATAACCCAATTACAAACTAGGCTCTAATACAATAAAATATCCAACAGAAACATACCCCACGTATTTGTATCCACTGTAGGCAACAAGGTCAAATGTCGAGAGGTCTGTGTGAACGGTGAGCAAGTAAAGACTGAGCAACATGACTAGAACTTCAATAATGATCCACACCAGAGCTGTGCTTGCACACAAACCCAGAACCTCTGGACTGAATCTGAACATGTAGAGAAAACAACCAAATTATAAATCATATACATGTCATATGAAACATTTATGAATACCATTTAACAGGGCCACAGGGCTATTTGACTAATTATTGTTAAACAAATCCAACAGGATGTCGATAAAATGACAGATCAGTGTGATTCTCCTTTGATAAATCACCATTACTCACCGTTTCTGGATTCCTAAAGCCATTCCTGCCAGCAAAATGTAGGTGATAAAAGCCATTGCTAAATGAAAAAAAAAAAAAAGAAAAAAGAAAAAAAAAAGAGGAAATTACACTAAGCAGATAACTCAACTAATAATTATGATAACACTACAAATCTATAAACTCACCAATACACTGTTTCTGATATTACTATATGCAGATGTGACAACAGATGTAAATGCAATGTAAGCATTGTTCTATTGCGCACTCTTAGGCCCGGTTTCACAAACAGGGCTTAGATTAAGCCAGGATTAGGCCTTAGTTCAATTATGGCATTTAAGTAGCTTTAGAAGTGTGCCTTAGAAAAAAAAATAAAAAATACTGGTGTGTATCTGACAAAGATATATCAGTGCAAATTGCTTTCAGTTAAAACAGCATTTTAGTGCGGGATTAGTCTGTGAAACCGGGGGAATATGTCTTTAACAAAGCCTAGTACTCAAGGGAGCAGTACAGTTCCCTTCAAATGTCTGTACCACCAGGATGTGTAATTATTCGGGTAGCTAGCTAGCTAGATATAAACATTTTTATAAAATCTAACTTGCTCTCAAAGATTCTCTTCAACTGCTGCTCTGCCATTACCAGAAAAAAGTGACCTGGCTGACTGGAGAGAGAATACTAGCTGTAGGAGGAGACAGTTTATGGAAATGTCCACCACGTCGGCACTTGTGGTAATGCTGAGAATGCAGTGCATACTATGAATTTTGCTCCGACACATTTTTAGAGTGCAGTGATGCACAAAATTGAGCTTGAGGTTGCATTCAGTTACTTGCTTAATGTTTGTTTTGGGCCTTAGAGAACCTCTCTAAAATTATTTTCAAGATGTTTAATAATTTATGTTGGAAGCATAAATCAGTGATTTTTCAGGTTGAACAAAATGAATAATGAACATCAATTACTGGGTATGTAGAGATCTGGAGCATTGACATCATGGCGTGGTGTGAGAGGAGTGTCTCTGTGGTAACGTACTTCCCAGTCCTGATGATATCAGAGTAAACATACAAAAAGCAAAATATTATATTAAACCTGTTCAAAGAAAGGCTTTCTGAATACATTTGGGTGATGCAAGACATTTGGGTTTGAAATTAATTTATGATTTATTAATTTAAGGGACAAAACATTAAAACTGATTGAATAATCCTTCATTTAAACATTTTTAGTTTTAAGAATATATATAGAGAAAAAAAAAATTGTCCAGCAAATTAGTAATCTGATTCTCATTAATTATCTCTTTGATTTAGGAATTAACATTTTACCTGATGCGTGTATGGAAAAATGAGAATCATCAGTTTCTTCATGACATATTTGGTATCAACTGCAAATAAATTTTTCAGCTTGTTCACTGGCATGAATCGGTTAATCTGCAGAGGAGATTACAGGGTGGATGAAAAATAAATCAAAGCATGATTGATATCAGTTGTTTTCACACATCATCATAACATATCACTGTGTACATCCTAAGTTAAACATGGCATCTCACCTCTTTGTTCACAATATCCTTGCCTTGATTGGCAAGTGATGAGCCATACATCATGGCAGCATTGGCCATCGGATCTCCAAAGAGGCTGCCAACTCCAGGCTCTTGACCACCCGCTGGCACTTCAGCCATATTATAACCCGAACTGTAGTAGTTCTGGTTGTTCATGGGCCCAGAACTGGTGTCATCAAAAAGAAGTGGGCCACTGGGAGGAGATGCTCTGGCTCTGGGTTTTGCTGCATGGACAAAAACATTTTTTTTTTTTTTATGATTAAAAATTACTGATAAAGCAACATCTGTTTATGCTTCTCAAATAATAGGATCAGTCTTTCCATTTAACGTTTTACTATGACCTGTGATATAAAAGCAGTCCATGCTAATTACATGTGATGTGGCAAAGAGTTCACCCAGCACGTCATCAAACTAAGAGTTCTAATTAGTTTAAGATAACTAATCAGTTAACGTCACTGCATTGTACTGTGGGGACAAACTGGACGTGATCTATTCATTTCAGACTTTGCTGATTTTAAAGTACAGTATGTAACGTTAGTTGTCCACATGTCAAAGAACAACAATCTTTTGCCATGTTCTTTCATACGTAGCGATAACTTACTTGCCCGGTATCCATGCTGTTGAAAATCCATCTTCTCTCCTGCTTTAAATTACAAAAATAATTTGATCAGCTTCACCAGAAAAAATCTGCAATCCAAACGATTAAAGTCTCCCCACTAAAATGTTGCATCTGATGTCAGCGTTAGACTAGTAATAATATACTAGCTTGCTATGTTGCTAATCTGAAAGATGACTAACAAAACATGTCGGATTTATCTTGAAAGTGATACCAAAATTATTACAAATACATACACACAGATACAAACGAATGGTAGTCACGTATAATATAAATTTGAAATATTGTTTTCTAAATAGGATCTCATATTATCTTGTACTCACAGATACGCCTTCACCCTAACGCCCTCCTCGCTTCGTTTCTTATTGGCTGATGAACTATGTGCCTGCGTGGCAGAGATGACAAACATCACAATTTCATTGGTTAGAATGACGGCTGCGTCAACTGAAATTCTTACATTTTGATTGGCTGTAAAACAAAGCAATCAAATAGGCACTATTAGGCAGTAGAGTAGAGCCAGCTTTGGTAGAGCCAAAGAACGTAGCATTACCTCTGTGAGCAGTACAAATAGAGTTAAGAATACCAACACATAAAATTAAGTAAAGGACGTGCTATATCAGATAATTGAGAATTTTGTTTTTTTTTGCAGTACTATTTTATATTAATGAAGTTAAAGCAAGACTATAAATAAATAAAAAACACAGCCACTGTCCAAAAGGGGCAATTATAGGATAACAGACACAGCAATGCATCATGTTCTATCTATAAGGTCATCGAGTTTGTAGCATGATCCAGGGGGGATTAAACCGTACAAAATATATTTCAGGCCTAGTGGAGTTGGTAAACTAGTAATGTTTAAAGTAACATGTTTAAAGTTACATATAATAGGCCTACACAATAAAGCAAGAAAAAACTACCTCGGGTGTATTTAATGATTGTATTCTACAACTGATAAATAAAAATCATATACAACACAATACAACATTTAGGTGTACCAAGTGAACAAAATTTACGGACGACTTAGGCTAATAGACATTTTCTATTGTGTTTCTGATTTGGCTGGGAGATTCTCTGATTTTGGGTGCGCAACAGAGAGTTTGCCATTTGAAATCCCCAAAAATGTTCCCACTCAAATGAGGGAAACATTATTCTTCAATGTTTTGGTAGATGTCTCAATTTCTACTATAGAACTACAACAGTGTCTTAAATTTGTCATCAAATGAATCTGTGACTTTTCTATAAGAAAAATGTATGTTATCGATTTGTTTCTATTATTAGGAACATTTATTCATCAAACTAAATGGAGTAACTCAAACCCCAACTTTGCTCATTTTAAATCAGTCTTTAAAATGCATTTTGAGTCTGTAAATTTTAAAAAATGAAAAGCCCAAAGATCTGTAACACTGCTAAAGGAATTTAATATATGTTTGTGATGCCCTTTATCTTTTTTCCCTTCTTTTCTTTTCTTTTCTTTTCTTTCCAAATTATTGTTGTTTCAAGTTATACTTATCAAATGTGAAAATAAATGAGTAAAAGAAATGTGTCAATAACTTGATATCAAACTCTGTAATTTTGAAAATTCAATATAAATAAATAAATAAATAAATAAACTCCAGTTGGAATTATGTACACAGTAAAATAAATGTTGGAATCTCTTCACCCCAAAATGGTGGCCGCGCTGCCGAAGCACCACCTAGTGGCTGTTACCAAAAAGCATCGGAGTTTGGTCGGGCTGCGCGTTGTACTAGGCAAACCGTAAGGAAAATACATTTATTTGAACCCTATTTTTTTTTTTTTTTTTTTTTTTTAAAGTCTATGATTTTAACACAGTAAATCAGTGGCATATATTGAGCTTCATATCTTTTTATTTCTTACATCTTACACATTTAATTAAATGTGTTAAAGGATCATGTTCATGGCTAATTTAACATTTAAATATATTAAAGTAATATTTATTTAATAAAATAAAATAAAAAAAGGTCTAATTAAACTTACTCAGTAGGGGTTAGAAACCTGCGACCAAATGTTGGTCTACAGTTATTGATAAAATAGTTTAATAAACATAAACATTCTCATAACAAATACATGTGATTTGTGCGTCTGATGTTTAAAAATAATTGTAGGTCATTTGATTTGTTGAGCCACATTGATAAAAATAAATAAATGAATTGGTGACATTTAATTGTCTTCTCATAAAAGTGTCAAACTTTTATGCAGGAAAATGATCCTCAAAAACTCTCTCTATAAGTCTCATGAGTATCATGATAATAATATAGCCTATATTTAATAGATATTTAACTGATTTGGACATGAAGAGAGAGATTTTCTTAAAGATATAGACCTAGTTGTCCTTTTTCATGATTCACTGTTTTTTGTTGTTGTTGTTGTTGTTGTTGTTTTTTGGTTTTTTTTGTTGTTGTTTTTTTTGCAGTCATGAAGATGCGACACCCCTAATATATTTGTTGTAATAGGGCAAACAATTAAAAAATTTAGAATCTTTTATGGCCTTTTTCTAATGTTGAACGGATGCATAATTTATTCACTTATCACAACAATTACACCTAAGTGTGTGAGAAAAAAAATAGCTAATATATATTGAGCTAATATAATAACAAATTTATTAGTAGTATTTTTTATTTTGTAAACTGTAAATTATCTGGTGTAATGCTGGTAGATATTTGTGATAAATGAAAGCAACAATTTGGTTGGATACATGTAATAACTGGCATTGGGGAGTGCCCTTAATGAACTAATGTCCAGAACTTCAACATACGTAAATAGTTTGCATCAGTACCAAGCCTTGGGTAATAGCACATCCTATCTCACTGGGCAAGAAGCACCTTGTCTGCAAGTCAAGGCATGTTGCGGAGAGTTGCAAAAGGGGTGTGTCATAGCATTCCATTCTGCTTGTGTCATAATTCACCTAATGAGGCACAGACACAACACTCTTGATACAACCAGATTTAGCCAGATGAAACCTGAAACACGTAGCTACCAAGGAACAGTGACATCATCCCAAAGGAAGGTCAATTTTTCCTCAAACACAGAGAAAGCATTTTTAGATACAATATCTCCTGCAGCTTTTTGGTTTCATTTTTACAAACATTTCCTTTGGCACAATCAGATCAGTGTACTGAGTGCATTGTAATACTGAACAGTCCAAAATGAGTCATAAAGATGCTGGAAATTATGATCCTATGCTTTGATAAGCGGCCTAAACAACAATGACTGTATTTGAATGGTAATAAAAATAAAATTTAAGATTTATAAAAAAAAAAGATGCTTGTTTTCATGTTATGAATTTTATTTGACTTCACTCGAGAACAAAAACATATTTACAGTGTGTAGAAATTGGGGCTGTAAATTAAGGAAGCAAGTATGATGTCAGAGGGACCAGGATAAGAACTTAACAAGGGCCACCAAATGTATAAAAATTACCCAAGCAGATATTAAGATACCCCTTGTAATGATTTTTATAATTGTAATAATTGGTGATGACAGTCTCAATTGTTTGGATTTACAATCATTTCAGATGATTGACATATGTGTACTGTGTTTTTATATGGTGAGGAAAAAGGTAGGCCTGTTTTCCAAATATTTTTCTGATGTGAACACTGTAACACGAATTGGCTGAAAGCAACTTATATAAAACGCACATGCTCGGTTCTAGTATCTTCTATTGTAAAATGTTTACGCTCAAAATAAACCAGACTGCAGGTCTATGGTGAACTGCCAAATCATTTGTGGTTTTCAAAAGAGTGAGTTTTCATCAAGATTTCACTCCCTGACACCATGAATCATTTTCCCTTTCATTGCTGTACAAGGATGACTCAGCTAATTGGTGAAAAGCAGTGAAAATTTTTTCATGACCCTTCATTCATAGCATTCATTCAGTGCATAGTGCTTTAAAGTGGTCTCTCCACAGGAACGTGCTGAAACCTCAATGTACACTCACGACTTCCCTTGTGGAAGATCAACCACTCTCTTTATGTACTCATAGGAAGAGTAACGCGAACTGCTTTGTGTGACCAATTAAATGTAGACCACACACTGCTTATTAAGAGTTAACATAAACCCGCATGCTAGTTAAGAAAAAAAAATCTGAATAGATGTATCAACTAAAACCTAAATTATAAATGTCAAACGTTGCTGTAAAAGGCTCAAGTTTACATTTACAGACTAGCTTAGGAAGGAGTTCCCGGAAAAATCCAAATATGGTCATATACGTAATGTTTCATGTGACCATACGTCATTCTAAAGCCCGGCCGGCAGCACCATTTCCCGTAAGTTGGGAGGGGCGAAAACTGTACGGCTCTTGATCATATATTTATTCTCGTGAACACTTGGAACCACCAGTCCGGTAAAGAACAGAACTGTGTTATATATATTGTAAAACTATATTTTTGCATATTTTATTCTATCGCTGTATGTAATATGAACATTTTGAACGTTGACAGAAACTTCTAGATTCCCCCAGGAGTATCGTGGTGGAGTCTACCGACTTCCCGCAAAACGGTGGATTTTTAACTTGCTTTCGAATTTAGCATGAACTGTCAGTGATATAAGTAGGAGGAACCTTTTGGGAAGCAGACACAGAAAAGAAAGCAGCTACACAGAGTTTCACAGACTTGGACAACAGCTTTCCGTGGATTACTAAAGAGTAAACGGCATACATGTACAACTACGGAAACTTGGGCAGAGGAATCGACCGGACCTTCCCAGATAGCAGCTCTGGATCAGGCTCGAGCTCTGCATCTCTCACTACAACCACTGTCACAACTCAACAACAACAGCAGCAACAACAACAACACCACCATCAACAACACAACAACAACAACAACAGGTAAGCGTCTTTTATACCGTATCTAACAAGATAATATGTTATACGTTCGGAATTTAAGATTTCAAAACAGTTTAAATTAACATTTCACCAAGTTATATAGCTGCTAACGTTATAATAATTGACAATTACAGTACCGTTTTCATCGTTCATTAAAGATATATTACCTCTATGATATTTTAAAACTAACATATCATTATGCTTAACATATTATTTATTTTAATTAGAAATTAGTTGTAATTCATATTCATGAAGTAGTTTGGCATGTTTGAACTGTCAAATTAAGTTCCATACGTTTTAAATATCTTTGTGGACCCCCTGGAGTTCAATTAGGAACCCCTGGTTTAGATTGTATTGACCAAATAAGAGCAAACGGTGTAATGATACAATAAAGAATGCTATTATCTTTATAAGTGGGAGTTTTTATATCTGGGAGTTTCTGCAAATACAACAACAATGGGTTTTTTGTGTCATAATGAGATATAATAAAGTCTCCTCCTTAAATCTCTGATGCCAATGCCGTGGTAACTGATAATATATTATCTGTGTCTCCTGTACTTTAAAGAAGTATTCTGTGGCCGGTTCCAGTCAGTTTGTGCCCAGTCTCAATGCTGTAACTTCAAACCAGGACCTTCAATGGATGCTTCAGCCGTCCCTTCTGGGCACGCCGGGGCCATCCAGGGCACTTCGAACATCTTACTCACTGCCACCAAGAATCCCATCTATGAATCCTCAACTTACTCTATCACATCAATCCCGACCAGGTGTTATTAGAGCAGCTGCAGCTGTCGACAGCTCAACAAGAAGCAGAAATAATGAACATGTAAGTTTAATTGTCAGTCTGTGATGAGTCATTACGGGAGACTGTGACAGCATGGTTTGTCACCATGTTCAGCTGTCATCCTCTCCATTTTTGTCAGTGGTCTTGGCCAAAATCAAACCCAGTCATCCGTCTGTTCGAAATCAAAGCGTGGAGAAGACAGAACTTGTTATGAGTGTGTATGTGTGATCTGTGAACGTGATTGCTGAAACATACAGGGTGTGAATCTCCTTTTGGCTTATTGAAGGGTGCGAACTATGTATTGACCTGTAAAAGTATGTTTGAATAAGACTGTTATATAATTATGATTTCATAATATGCTATATACAAGGTGGCATCTACCGAGGATGAATTGCAGAGATGGTCGTTCAATATTAACTCATGAAATCCTTCTTGACTCGTGCATCCAAGTCTTGAGGATGGCAGGGAGACTGAAATATTGAGAAAGGAAATGGGATATCATGTGATTCACTGGAGGAAAGTCATATGACTCATTCCTGAGTCACTAGGGTGTTTGCAGGTGATTCATCAATTCAAGGACATGAAACTGCAAATGATGCTCACAAAAGAACAGAATATAAAGATTCATAATAGAGCATTTACAAAGATGAAAATTGCAATATTGCCTCGATTTTGGATGTATAATTAAAAATATCATCCCCTAGATGGCAGTATTTCCACAAGTTTAATATAAAAATTGATTGACCATGGTGATGGTTCCTATGGGACACTATATATATATATATATATATATATATATATATATATATATATATATCAATTATTAAATTTTTTTTTACATTTCCTGTGTTTTTACATTACATCTGTGTACAATGTTAAACTACCTCATGCATATTAATTTATTCACACGTTTCTTACATTTGCTTTACTTTCTTACTCCAGCTATCCACTGAGGAACTTGAGCGGCGTAGAATTAGAAGGGAACGTAACAAAATGGCTGCGGCTAAGTGCAGGAATCGTCGACGCGAACTGACGGAAACATTGCAAAATGTAAGTTAATTTAGCTTCATTTGACATACTTGAAATGTCTTTGTATTTCTTGGACCCAAACACTGAACGTTTAAACTTTTCACAGCAAACTGACAAGTTAGAGGATGAAAAATCACGTCTGCAGAAGGAGATTGCTGAGCTTCAGAAGCAAAAAGAAAAGCTTGAGTTGGTCTTCGAGGCCCATAAACCCATCTGCAAAGTCCAGGACTCTGACTCAGACTCTGACTCCAACAGTGACCTCCCATCACTAAGTGGAATCAAGATTGAGCCTGCAGACCCTGATCTTCCTGGACCCTCTGGAGAATTAAAGAGTTATGCCAAGCCTAATAAACCCAAACCCAAAATTACCATCCCACCTCCAGCTTCAGCCTCCACTGTTACCAGCGCACCTCTAGAATCAGAGTCTCTTCATACTCCTGTCCTCATCTCCACTCCATCTCTGACTCCCTTTTCTGCCAGCCTGGTCTTCAGCTACCCCTCTTCTTCAATGGATATCAGCTCAGTGACTTCATCCCAAGCCCTCAGTCTTGCCCCCTCTCAACACGGTACCAGCCAGCTTTCTCGTAACCCTGAGCCGTGTGGTGTCGCTCATCGCCGCAGCAGCAGCAGCGGGGATCAGTCCGATCATTCCCTCAACTCACCAACCATCCTCACCCTTTGATTTCTCAACGCGTTTATGACTTCCAAAAGTGTCCTTACTACTACACGCAAACATAAGCAAGTACTTTTACCTGTGTATTCTGTTTACCTTTATTAATGGCTATTATCAAGTCACTTATATGCTTTATAAGAATACAGAAGCAAAAGTTAAAAGGTGATGTGTGTAATGGTTTTGACTTGAAATGCTTTCCCCTGTCCCAGCTTAATAAGGAGACATCTATGCCATTCGTTGGCTGATCAGTAATACTGGCTAAACCAGGGGCAGGAACAATCTGTTAGTCCAAACAATGGAAGACAGTGTGATTTGGTTCGGAAACGGCTTGAAAATGGTCCTTTATTTTTGCCATTTCATTTGGTTAGAATAGAGAAATTACACACTTCACCTTTATGCATGTGTAGTCCAAAATGAGAGGTAAAATCACCTTTCATATGAAGTAGACTGAAGTCATCACAGCACATACTGTATTTATATATATATACAACACTGAAAAGAAAACTGACTGACATTAAAGCCCATAACGCTTGACTGTAGTGGCTTTAATAATATTATTATTTGATATATTAATTTATTTTAGCTACAGATTTAATATATCATTGATGGTACAATCACAGTTAAAAATCTGGCCTACTAGCAAGTTTCTATGAGAGTTAGTGAGAGCACAACCATTATGCCTTTCAGGAAGGGATGTTTAAAGCAATTTTTAATGAGTGTCTATTAAGTTATTTATTAGTATGTTCATTTTAGAAATGTTATGGTTTTAATTGATGGATCTATTCTAAATTTGTATTGGTTATACTGTCTTTATATGCACGTTTGTGGACTTACACAGCCAGCGTAATGCTATTTCTTTGTCGTGTCATTTTATGTTTTTAACCTTGGTTTTAAGAAACATAATGTTATAATAACATGAATACGCTAGTTTTAAAGAAACCGAAGGTATGCTGCCTACCTGCTTCTTTACAAACACCACATCTCAGCACTGAGAATGTACACTTCAATGACCGATTCACTGTTACACTGGTTAAATTATATTTTAACTTCACTTCACTGAACACTTCAGTGGCTACACTACAGTGGGTTTTCCCTACAAGTACAAAAGTGAATGATTCACAGGCCAGTAGAAGTAAATTATTAAGATAGACTCTTTATACTCTATTGGATAAACTATGTTAGATTCTACTATTGCTTGACCACATATAGTTTTGTATTTATTTTTTGAAAACAAGATATTTTTTAAATACTTTTTACTGGAAACATGTTGCATGCTGTTTAACCTCAAATAAACAAATACTGAAAATATGTGCTGCTATTAAATACACATTATTATGACTTCGGAGATGTTTTGTAAGAATAATAGTGCCTTGAAATTAGGAATTACATTTATTTCTATTCTGTATGACATTCATATATGGCCCCTTCATATGATTATTTGTAGCTGTAATGTTATTTCAAGGGGCACACAGCGACAGATATAAGCAATAAAGTAAATGCTTAGTAAGTTACATAATGGAAAGTGAGCAGGGGTATGAGGAGGGGTTAAGCGTTTCCTCATAGGATGTCAAAAAAAGTTCAATGAGTCACAAACACATTTCCTCTGAACTAGAAACAATTGTTAAACATTCTCCTCTAACAGTTGATCTTAATGTGATGTTTTGAAAGAATAAACAAGAATCTCAGGACACACTTTCTGCATTTTCTTCTTTCATGTCATCTGCATGCTTATGGTTATGGGAAAAATTTGTGTACTCTGGATGACAAGTGTGTGATAAAAAAAATCACACTTTAAAAGGAGGTTTTCACATCTATAGATGCCATAAAATAATATTTTTTGTTCTCTCTTCTAAGTGTGAAAATGTTTTCCACTATAAAAGGAACTTTAGTGCAAAGGAAAGATCAATTGATGTTAAAGTTTGGATTCAAATTATGGAACAATTACGAAGCTTTATTTTTAAGAGCAATATAGCCTATGTTGACAAAAAGACAAATACAATTAAAGATGAATAGTCTGGATAAACAAAAGTGACAAAGTAAAAGAGCGCGTATAAGGTGAAAGAGGCCAAAACATAAATATACAGAGAGCATATTAAATAAACATGGCAACCCTTTTTCCTTCACACTGCGTCCTCTGTTATCACTCTGATTTCAAGTGAGTCACATAGAGGGGACATGAGAACATATGATTGAGATAATGAGTTTGACTGAATGAACCAGCGAGCACATGTTCTGCTGAAAGGACCTCTGTATGCCCATCACAGTGAAAGTGTTTCTGACTCTGGTGCTGCTGTGCAAACAGCATGCCCAAAATAAAACAGTGAAACGTCAATAAATGAAGGCCTGAGGTACAGCATGACTAAGGCCTCGTTAAGCCATGACCGGGAAAATACAATTCATTCTATTCAGAAGTCCTTTGTGGGATAGACTATATATATATATATATATATATATATATATATATATATATATATATATACATACACTGTTAGGGACTATTTTTTTTTTCTAACGGAAGGAAGACTTTTAGTGATTTTACTTCTTGAAAGTTGCACTAATATATATTTATTTTTTAATGTAAAATTTTTATTGTGTGGTAACCGTTTTATAAAAGCAATAATGTACTCGAGGCAAGTGCTGTATTGTGAATAAGTAATTGCTGAAGTTGTTACTCCGCTTTGCATCCTGCCTAACAACGCCCTTCAGCCATTACTTATTCACAATACAGCACAGCCTCTCGTACATATACACACTAACCTAAAGGATTATTAGGAACACCTGTTCAAATTCTCATTAATGCCATTATCTAATCAATCAAACACATGGCAGTTGCTTCAATGCATTTAGGGGTGTGGTTCTGGTCAAGACAATCTCTTGAACTCCAAACTGAATGTCAGAATGGGAAAGAAAGGTGATTTAATCGATTTTGAGCGTGGCATGGTTGTTGGTGCCAGACGGGGCGATCTGAGTATTTCACAATCTGCTCAGTTACTGATTTTCATGAACAACAATTTCTAGGGTTTACAAAGAATGGTGTGAAAAAGCAAACACATCCAGTATGCGGCAGTTCTGTGGGCAAAAATGCCTTGTTAATGCTAGAGGTCAGAGGAGAATGGGCCGACTGATTCAAGCTGACTGAAGAGCGGCTTTGACTGAAATAACTCGTTACAACCGAGGTATGCAGCGAAGCCTTTGTGAAGCCACAACACGCACAACGTTGAGGCGGATGGGCTACAACAGCAGAAGACCCCACCGGGTACCACTCATCTCCACTACAAATAGGAAAAAGAGGCTACACTTTGCAAGAGCTCACCAAAATTGGACAGTTGAAGACTGAAAAAAATGTTGCCTGGTCTGATGAGTCTCGATTTCTGTTGAGACATTCAGATGGTAGAATCAGAATTTGGCGTAAACAGAATGAGAGCATGGATCCATCATGCCTTGTTACCACTGTGCAGGCTGGTGTTGGTGGTGTTGTTTTTGTTTTTGTTGTGTTGTATATTGTGGGGGATGTTTTTTTGGCACACTTTAGGCCCCATTAGTGCCAATTGGGCATCGTTTAAATGCCACGGCCTACCTGAGCATTGTTTCTGACCATGTCCATCCCTTTATCACCTTGTGCCCATCCTCTGATGGCTACATCCAGGAGGATAATGCACCATGTCACAAATCTCAAATCATTTTAGATTGGTTTCTTGAACATGACAATGAGTTCACTGTACTAAAATGACCCCCACAGTCACCAGATCTCAACCCAATAGAGCATCTTTGGGATGTGGTGGAACGGGCCCTGGATGTGCATCCCACAAACCTCCATCAACTGCAAGATGCCATCCTATCAATATGGGCCAACATTTCAAAAGAATGCTTTCAGCACCTTGTTGAATCAATGCCACATTGAATTAAGGCAGTTCTGAGTTCTGAAGGGGGTCAAACACAGTGTGTGTGTGTGTGTGTGTATATATATATATATATATATATATATATATATATATATATATATTTGGGTTTTTTTTTCATGGAAAGTGAAGGAAAGAGGAAAAAAGACCAGAACAGAACATGGTGTGTCAGTCAAGTGTATTTAAAGCTATCTCAATTACTGAGCATAGCCTGAATAAAAAGCAAATGCTAAGAAAAGCAAATCAATCAGAGAGCTGGGGTCTTGTAGCTATAAAACTGAAGTCATTAAAATAATACTGATCATATATTTGGAATTAAAACATGTACAACAGAACAATCCTATGTAGGGGTCTTGTAGAATGCAGCAAATACAACAAAAATTACTATAATATTAACAATATATAGCACAATAATTTGAAAACTACATTTCTGTCAATGTTTTCCCCTCCAAACATCAGTGTCAATTTAGCATGTATTAATTAAAGTCTTGTCAAAGCAACAACTGAACATAAAAAGCTTTGTACAGTACAGCTATGTAGTTAAAGTGGGGTTAATGCAAAAGAAAGTTCATTTTGGATTCAGTGCAGAACACAGCAACACTGTTTAGTGGAGCACACGTCACTACATCTAGTGAATTATACTGTCCAGTTCAAAATAAACAAGAAATAACAATCTTATACTGTAGAAAAGTGGTCTAGTCACATGTGCATTTCCAGTGAATCATTCTTGGGCCGCCGCAAAAGCGATACAGCCATATTTCACAAAACAATCTGATCTGCTTACAATGGAGGCTTTGCTTTGCACAATCGTTTGATACTACCAGTTCCTCTCCATTGTTGAAAATGACTCAGTGCTTTTTGTAAATGATTTTAAACAGATCATTATAGTATATGGCTCTAATCAGTAAAAATGTAAATCTCTAAAGATTGCAGATTCATTGCAGCCCTGTCATAGTGCATCGTAGGAGAAACATCAGCCCGTGAACAGATCAGTGCACAGTAAAACCTGGTAAAAGTTAGCAGTTTCTCAAAATGTTGTTTAAAAAGTCAACTAAACCCTAATTTGCCCCTATCTACAACCCCTGTAAGAGATGAGAGGAAACATTCCAGCAACATTTGGAAAAACATTCAAATAATGCTACTAATACGATAAATAGCCCTGCAGGAAAATGTAAAGATTTTAAAACATGGTGGATGGTTTCTAGAATGCACAAGCCGTCTTAGACCAGAAATAGACAAGTTGGTCATATCATTTAAGGTGGTCCAGATGTTTTTCGACTAGCTTAGACCAACAAAACCGCCCACCATGTTCCAAAACACCAAGTGATGATTTACTCTCATTCATTCCATACCTGTATGACTGACTTTCTTCTGCAGAAAACATTAAAGTGTATTTGTGTTTCTGTCCATATGAAGGGATTCCCAAACATTGTTGTCAGCTGAAAAAAGTATATATATATTTTTTTCTTATTTAAAAATTATTTATTTTAATTTTACATTTTTATAATTTCATTATTGGCTTTTCACCCACTCATGAACCCCTTGCAGTTCCCTCACAAACCCCCAGTTTGTGAAGCCTGTACGATAAAAGTCAATGGGGTCCAATTCTGTTTTGGACTTGCTATGAGTTTTATTTTATGGATAAAAACAGTTAATCAAAATAAACATTCTTCACAATATCTTGTGTTCTGCAGAAGAAAGTAAGCGTACAGGTTTGGAATGACATGCGGGTGAGTAAATGAACACAGATTTTGCATTTTTGTGTAAACTATTTCTTAAAGATGGATTTTCCAGCAGGAGGACAGATTTTGAAAGAAAAGGCTGTCACTTTAAAGCTTAAAAATGATTCTATGTTGACTGGCACCCAGTAATTTCCCTCAAGTTTTCAAGGTCTGCCAACTATAAAAATGTAATCAATGAAATATAGAGAAACTGTACTTATGGCATCAAAAGGCCATGAGTAAACTAGCCTACTGAAGTCCTGGTCTATTTTTTTTTCCCCCACCGAAATCTGAGATGTCTTTGTCAGAAAATGTAAACTACTTTTGTAGACAAAACGTCTGTCTCAGCATCAAGAGAGAAGGTTAAGTAATATGGCTCTGCTCCTCTCCTTCAGTCATCTGGTGAACACACCAAGTGCAGCTGGTCTGGACTGCCAACACTCCCGGTGCTGGAGCTCCCGTCACCCACATCCCGGGCCACCATACACGGTATGTTGAGATCCGTGGAGCCACCCGGGCTGGAATCACTTCTGCTCACGCACTCTTCTTCAAGCACCAAACAAAGTTCCTTCAGATCCAGATTTTCCTTAACCAGACCGTCCTGCATCCGCTCCAGGTCGGCGAGTTTCTTGAGGTATCCGCCGAGGTCCTCGCGCATCACTTTGGCCGCGTGATGGCCGAACAGTTGCCACTCACGCGCGAGCTTCTTTACTTTCAGACGGTCGTCGTCCAGAAAGCAGCATAAATCTCGAAGTTCCTGGTTCTCCTCTTGCAGCCGCTGGTTGATGACTTTGAGTTCCCTGATTTCAAGCAGATGTCCCTGCAGTTGTTTATTGACCTCCTTTATTAATCGACCGCGCTGTATGAGAGCGGACATCTTATCCGATTCTTCTTTGCGGAGTCGATTCACCAGCTCTTCTTTAGAACAAGTCAGCAAGTCTTCATCGGACATTTTTGACAGCTCCCGGTTCAATATTTCACTGTCGCTCCCCATATTGTTGACAAATTCACCATCAATTAATATTAGCGCGGTTAAACAATAAAATAAGTCTGACGAGGCACATGAGTTGTCTGTCACTGTAAATGAACCGCAACATTCCTCACCCAGGCACGAAGAAAACGGCCATTTCCTCTTCAGTCCGATATTTATAACCTACAATAAGGGAAAATCACAATTCTTATATGCAAACAGGCTTGTTTTGGGCCATGTCTAACGATTAAAACAACAAGCTCATCCCGACTGTATCACAGTGAACAGGCCTAACGTACCTCACTCTCCTCGGTGTTTTAAATCGGCAGCATTAATTTATCAGTATTTGGCTTCTGGGAAGTACTGAAGCACAATCGCGTTTGTTCCTGCTCCTCGGGATGGGATGAGAGGTCAACAGAGAGGTTTAAAATAATCCCCGTGGAGCATCTCTTCTCTTCTGTATTACAGGGATCACAATGTCCGTCTGCATCCGTCTCTCTCTCTCTCTCCGCCCTAAAGCTCATGCAGTGCAATCCACGGTACCACGTTATTACTGTCTAAATAAGGCAAGGCATCATATCGCTAGCGTTCCTAAAACGCGATATAAATATGAAAAATAAATAAACAAATCAGAGTAAAAAATGCAGGACAGGCTGGTTACACTATAGTGCTGCATGCGATTGGTCGGTTTTTACCTAAAAACAATGTCGGATAATCCGAATCAACAAGGTTGAATTGTATAGCGGCAGATTGTGGGTTTACTTCGTGGTGATTCCTGAGGAATTCGCTGAGATGTTCCTTGAGATTAGTATTTCCTTTGGCGGTGGTGGTGATAGGAGGCAGTGATGTCTTCCCCCATCTCATCCTCTCCTCCCCCTATTCTCTTCACCCCCCTCCCTTCTTCCCTTACTGTAAACTCTGCACTGTATCCTGGCTAGTGAGTCCCTCTCACACAGCTGTTTCCAATAATACTCCTACCAAGATATACTGTATTTCAAAGGCTAGTAATACAAGTTTATGTTGAAATATCTCTGGTTGAGGTCTTCCCACTGCTGCAATGAGACTGCATACACACGGGACACACACAAAACTAACGGAAAGGGTGACAAAAGCTTTTTCTCTTTTTTAAGCCATGGTATTTAGCCACATCCTTCTTCCCTGCTCTCCAGCACAATTGCTCGCACTAGGACATAACAATGTGGGTGTTAACCAGGACCAGGGGTGAGAGAGGGGGGTTGCTGGAGTGAGAATGGAAACAGGCCACGTTTCGGATAAACGAGCGGGAGGGGGTGAAACAAAGGCATGCATGACAATAGGTGAGAGGTGCAGAATAAGAACAAACACGCTCCTTTGGTGGATTCAGTTAATTAATTGCAGTTTGGATGAAAGGAAAACATTTAGAGCTGTGTTGCCTAAACCGCTGTGCAGGGGATTAAACGGTTTAGGCTACTGTAATGAAATAATGAACTGGCAATGATGGTATGGTTATGTAGCAGTAGCCTACTTGGAAAAATATTGAAAGCGCAGAATATGTATTTGTCAGTCTAATATTCTTCTTGGAAATGTAAGAAACTACTGGAAACTTGTAAGTTTTAAAAAAAAATTGTGATTTACTATTTGTTTCCAAACCTGTTCCAAACATCCACGAAGTGTGTGCTCTTTAGTCTCCTCCAAAGCAAATGACTTTGTTATTCACTATTATCAATCATCAATAACTCTTTATTGACTTCAATGTCCACCTACTTCATCTGTCCATTCCAACTGTTTAATATAATACGAGTTTGATGATAATCCTGTCTCCGAGTCTGGCATTTCATTATAATAATAAATCAGACCATGTTTTCATAAAAAAATCATTTTATAAATGTTATTTCCCAAACTGTTTCAATGTACGATTCTAAATACATTTTAAAATGTTGAGGGATTTTGGTGAACTTGGGTTTTAATTTGGTTACTTTGTTTACCACACAGGTGCTTTGCATCCTATAATTGCCCACAGTAATGCTAGGGCAGGGTCATTTCCCCTTATAAATGACTCAAGGACATAGACCGGAGTTTTGATGTCAGTAACTTTTTCTTGGTAATACCTCTCTACCTGATATTAAAGCTTGTGTGCTATCACCATGATGGATTCTTAAAAAAAAAAAAAAAAAAAAAAAAAAACATGCATTCCATTTTAACAATCAAATTGTAGGATATTAAGAGTCATTTAATATGATCTATTTAATGAAGCAAATTCTTTTTACTCCTCCTGACATCTATATTTTTTTACTTCAAAGTTTCAGTATTTCTATTAAAACCTAGTAACGTCACAAATAGCAGTATTTGACTATAAGATATGTTCAGTTGATGCTCATATTTAATAATACAGTTTTTTTTTAAACAAATCTACTCTGCTTATTTTGTTTTCATATGCTGGCTGAAGTTCAGGAAGTAGTGCAGCTGGGCATAAAGCCCATTGTTGTGAGACCCGAACACTACACAAAACTACAGTCACGTGACTGTGACGTAAAATGAATGCGGCGCACACCAGGAAGTCATCTACTGTTGCTATGGATGAAGCGTAGTCGCTCGATTTGACCACAGGATTTGACAGTCTGTGTTTTCTAAACACAACTATGATGGTTACCAATGCATAATCAACTCGTGATAATTATTTCTAGGTAACTTACGCATCCGATAAGTCGAGCGAATAAATGTTGAAAGGAGCTATAAATTCAAAAACAAAAGCTAATGTTGTGACATCTGAATGTGATTAACTTACAAACCAGCCGTCGCGATAATACGCTTGTGTCCCTGGTAAGTCCACTTAAGATATTTGGAAAATACTTCATGTCTGAGATGTGTGGTGTGTTAAATTGTTTTAGGGATTAGTTTAGGTGGTTAATGATTAGTTAACGGCCGTTGCTTTATTTACTGTAGCTAAGTCTGGTTCTTGACTTGCATAAAGTTCCATCATTGCAAATCAAAGTCACTGGATCTCAAAAGCATATGTTTGGTAATAGCTTACCATGTGCCTCTGTACAGCTTAAACATACATTGCCAAAGTCAAGATGTCTGTGGAGCTGGATGTATTTGTTGGAAACACCACCATTATGGACAAAGAGGTGTATCAACTGTGGTTGAATGGATATACAGGTGAAGGATAGTGCATGCGACTGTGAACTACTTTAATACCTGCTTAGAAATGAATGTTATATTTATAACAATGTGGTTGCCTTCATAGTGAATGATGCAGTGACGGTGCGGATAGAAGGAGGTGTAATGGAGGAGTGTGAGGTGAGTGCAGAAGTGCTGCTCAGTGACACCATGGACCAATACAGAACTTTCCAGATGTGCGAGAGACTTTTACACCACCCAGCTAAATTAGCCAATCAGCTTCTGTTTCAGATACCGCCAGACCGGCAAGCCATGCTCATTGAACGGTATGCGCTGATTTGTGTCTTGCCAATTGAAATAGTTTATTTATTGAATAGTTTTGTATTATTGAGTTTAAACTACATTTATTCATATTTTCTTCTAGGTATTATGCTTTTGATGATTTGTTTGTCCGAGAGGTCCTGGGAAAAAAACTTTCCAAAGGAACAAAAAAAGACCTTGATGATGTTAGCACAAAGACAGGTATTACACTGAAGAGCTGCAGAAGACAGGTGGGCTGAACTACTCTATTTGAAACTATATATTCTCACTGATATGATAACTAAGATTTATGATTGGATGCTTTTCCAAGATCCTTTGGGGAATTTAATGATTATATCCATCTCCTCAAATATAGTTTGACAACTTCAAGCGAGTGTTCAAAGTGGTGGAAGAACTCAAGGGTCCCCTTGTGGAAAACATACGGCAGCACTTTCTGTTACCTGATCAATTAGCGAGGTGAGAATGAAATGAACATTTGGTGAACAATGAAGATTCGGTAATACATTACAACAAGGTTTCATTCGTTAACATTAGTTCATGCATTAACTAACATGAACTAACAATGAGCAATATATTCTTAGAGCATTGATTAACCTTTGTTAATGTTAGTGTTCATGTAAATAATGTTAACAGATACACTTGATCTTAAAAAAATATTGGTAAACGTTGAGTGACATATTCATCCCATGAACAATTGCTTCAGTGTGGATTTGGTGCTTTTTCACCTTCTCTTGCTAAACGATCTTGCCAATTCCTCCTCCAGAGACTATGCTGCAATAGTGTTCTTTGCTAATAATCGTTTTGAGACGGGGAAGAAAAAGTTGCTGTACCTAACCTTCCAGGACTTTGCCTTCTGTGCTGGGCAGCTCATCAACAACTGGACACTAGGAGCTGTTGGTAAGACCAGTTACACAACTCTTACACAGCCAACTGCAATACTTGAAATTGGTCAATTGTGGCAATCAGTGGTCAAATATACTTCTATAATGGCTACTGTTATCCTAGGCAGCTGATTTCCTACACAGGTGTGCTAGATAATGTCTTTTGTACCACTTTAAAAGCATTGTATTATCACATGATGAAATACTTTTAAAACACTATTTGTAATATTTCTTTGTTATTATAATAATATCTAAAATGTATAATAGTCATAATTATATCATATTAATAATAATTATATAACAGGTCTCAATGCTAAGGATTTTTTCTACTGGCCTGGTCGGGTCAGTGGTTCATTTTTGCTGGTCCTTCCAGAATTTTCATTGGCCCTGCCACAAAATGAATGAATGAATAAGTTAGTTTTTGTTACGTACGGCACATGTACGTATAGATGAAATTATCTCCTTTTTTATCTTTGTCTGTACTTTCAAAATCCACCATTTCTCTCCATTAGATAACATGATGGAGGACATGGATGTAGATCTGGATAAGGAATTCCTTCAAGACCTCAAAGACCTCAAAATTCTAATCACAGACAAGGATCTCTTAGACCAACACAAAAGGTGTGTGTTCAGCACTGTGTGATTGAGTGATTTGGATGTGGAGAATATAGATTAGAGTCTGAGCAGGGCGGTTGTAAATGTCCAAATGTTGCATGGTTACTCCCTCTGTCTCAACCATCTGAATAATGAAACCTCTCGTCCACTCAGTTTAGTGTGCACTGCTCTGCGGGGTAAAACTAATGTCTTCAACGAGATGGAAGCCAATTTTAAGGTAAGAGAGTTGGTCATGTGTTTCTTGTGAAATAAATGCTTTACTACATGATTTTTGATTTCAAAATGTCTTGCTCTGTAGAATCTCTCAAGAGGCCTTGTGAATATCGCTGCCAAATTAATCAACGCAAAAGATGTCCGCGATTTCTTCATTGACCTTGTTGAAAAGGTACTTTTTAAAATTGAATAAAAGGATCTAATAGGTCTGGAGCACTCACATTTTTCACAAAGCATTTATTCTTTGTCTCTTCAGTTTATTGAACCTTGCCGATCAGACAAATGGACATCAGTAGATGTGAACCTCTACCTCACTCATTATACTAACTCGGCACATATCCTTGACACATTCAAGTAAGTGTCACTATGGCTGATGTATATTTTCTTTTGGTATTTTTCTGGACAGTTGCTTTATATGGAGGTTTTAGTTCAGGGGAAATTCTCTTTGCAACCAGTGGGGGTCACTGTATCATATGCACATTGCTTTATATGAAGTCACCTTTATTTCCTGTCCAATCATTTATGTGGTTTAAACACTGTGGAATGTGTTTATTATTCAAAGTATTGCTCACCAAAGGCTGCAGTTATTTGATCAAAAATAGTAATATTGTGAAATATTATTACAATTTAAAATAAGTTTTCTTATGTTCCTTATATAACTGTTTTCATATATTTTTATATATCTTTTTCTTGCGATAGCAAAGCGGAATTTTCACACACAATTCTTTAGAAATAATTGTAATATGATGATTAGCTGCTTAAGAAACATTTCTTATTATTATCAATGTTGAAAACAGTTGTGCTGCTTAATTTTTTATAGATATTGTGATTTTTTTTTAGGATACTGAGATGAATAGATACTTCAAAAGAAGAACATTTATTTGAAACAGATTTGATTTGTTACATTTTCTTGTAACAGTGTAAAAGTCTACTTTTGATAATTGTAATGCATCCTTGTTCGA